TAGCATGGTGATCTTCCTTCAGCTGCTGGCGATCTGTAGCCATTTTTTTATATTGTACTGTTTCATTTAGTGATATCTTTTTATGGTTATATGCTAGTTTTAAACATTAATCTGTGATATTCTAGTAATTTTACTGTCGATGACAAGTTTTATTTAGTTTAAATATATGTATTAAAAATGTATAACTTCTCGTCACGATATGATATGGCTGAAATATTGCCGATGTGACGTAAAGCATTAACTCACTCACTCACTCACATGCAAGGCGCATCATCTTGATATGAATGCATACACACAATACATACACATGGTTGCCATGGAACAACTGTCATACTTTATCTTACTGCAAAGTAGAGAACAAATACTGATATTTTTAGCCACAATTTACTTGGTTGAGGGAGAATTTCAGATAACTTTTAGTATCTGTCCTGCCCATGTGAGTTAATATTTTCCTGACAACTGATTGGTTGTTTTAGACGGGTTATGTTTTGTGTCATTCAACAGAGGTGAGATGAGGTGAAATTGGGTTTAACGTGGCGTCCAAGATTATTGCACTTATATAGCGACGTGCATGTAAATGTGTGTGTTTGTGTGGCTGCTTGTACAAGTCCGGACTGATGCCGATTTATAGTGCTAGCTCACTGAGATACCATGCCGCAGTTTAACATGAATACCCCACTCAGACACAGTATACTGACTCCGAGCCGACCAGTCCTTGTTTTAGCCCCTTAATGCCGAGCGCAAGACAGGGTAACAACAAGTACCATCCTATCGTCTTTTTGTATGATGCGGCCGGGGATCGAACCCTGGACCTTCCGCTCTCCGGCGGACGCTCTACTACAAGACCACGGAGGCGGTTCATTCAACAGAAAGAAAGTGAGTTGGTGAAGAAGTTTGTTCTATTGCTGCTTTGAACAGTATTTCAGTCATAACATGGCTTCTCAGCCTGTTGTGGGATGTCTTACATAGGGCTGACAAACCAAGGATCATAGTCAGGATCTGAATCCACAATCCTTGGATCCTGGCATGCCTAAGGAATACAATTCTGCCTGCTTTCCCCATTAACAAGAAAGACTGCTAAAAACTTCCAGAATTCTGTTGGTAAGACTAAAATAACCTAACAGTTGTCAAGCATTGACTTGCCTTTGCATGTGTTTGTGACTTGTGGGGCAGGATACACACACCTTTTTGCAAACACTATTTGATAGTGATTCATAAACACATGCTCATGATAGAGTCGGAATTGTACAATGGACTGTTTTGGGCAGAGATTATTAATGAATATGGAAAAGGTTTTGTCGCTTTTATTTACTTGTCCTATTTTCATAAACTAGGATCCAAACATCAATGTCTCTTTCCACAACAAATTACAAAGAGGACTACACACACACGGGTAATAAATACATTGTCAATACATTCCCCTATTAGATACTGTTTTTTACATCTAATATATTTAAACATTAAATGTAGAAAGCATGTTTTAAAGCATATAGTATCTAATAGTGAAGAGTAATAATCTTGGCATATTGACAAAGTCAAAAGCAAAGCTTAATGAGATTAACATAAACAAGAAAGCACAGATTCTCATACATTGTACTTAGCCAACATATTATTCTGGTTCTATATGTTTTATAGACACTAATGATCCCCAGCACCAGCAAAGCAACAGGTAATTGATTACATTGCACACAGCTGCAAACAGCACCAATGTCTGTGAAGTACCTGTACAAAGATATTATACAAGGTGATCCAGAGTTTAGAAAAACGAGAGTAAGCAACACTAACAAGGGCAAATCCAGTATTTTTAAAAGGGAGGGGTCCAAAGTCCTCTCTAAAATAATTTTACTGCCTACCACATAATACATTTGGTTTTCAAAAGGGAGGGAAGATGGTGTTCGGACCCCTTGGCCCCTACTTCTGGATCTGCCTGTGCTTAAATAGAGTGAGTGAGTGAGTGAGTGAGTGAGTTGGGTTTAACGCCGCTTTAAACAGTATTCCAGTTATATCACAGCGTGTCAGCTTAATGTGGGAGGAAAGCCCGAAGTGATGCAGGTTTTAGACGTTTACCACTTTGGTGAAACCCACGGGCACGGGTATGGTGCTAGAAACATAATTGGGGTGAACCGGGATTCGAACCCACTATCATAGGTTTCTGGCATGCCCAAGAGACACAACTCTGGACAGCGAATTGCGGCGGCTTAAGACGACTGGGCAACCCGTGTCCTTGCAAGTGGGTGAGTGGGATTATCACCGTTTTGGACAGTATTTCAGTTTCAAATCAGTGTGTCAGCTTAAACACCAAGAACAGTTTGGTCACTGGCATTTGAAGGTGAACCAGCCATTGTCAGTCAGTGTATCCAAGCACCAATACTGCAAGCAGCCCAGGTGGGCCAATTGACAGACAAGTATTTAAATAATACGAAGGTATTTTGGAACCTTAAGTCATTTGGGACCTATTTAATTTCTAATAAAGGGACTGAAATCCATAAACTCCACTGCCATCAACATGATAATGGCAGAAAATCCCTTTGGGCTTTTCCCTTGCTTGATGTTTTACATTTTCAACTAAAACCCTGCTTTGTGTTTTAACTGTAAGTTTTCAGTATTCCAGAAATATCAAGACGAGGAACACAAAACACAAATGGGTTCTATATATTGCACCAAAGTGGGGAATATAACCTTTGACATGATTGAAAGAACCACCCTTACACAACATAACAGAAAACTGATGTAAATGACAGTACAACGACTGGCGAAGCAGCGCTGACGGAATAAGTGTCCTTCCAATAATTTCCCAATAAGAAAGTCTGAACATTCTATTCTTCTGACTGCTGGATTGTCTTGTATTTAATTGTTTGTTTGTTTGTTGTTTAATGCCGCACTCAGCAATATTCCAGCTGTGATTTGTTTGTTTGTTTGTTATTTAAACGCCGACTTAGCAATTTTCCACCTATATGACGGCGGTCTGTAAATAATCGAGTCAACCAGACAATCCATTGATTGACATCATGAGCATCGATCCACGCAATTAGGATACGATGACATGCATCAAACGAGTCAGCGAGCCTGACCACCCGATCCAGTTAGTTGCCTCTTACAACAAGCATAGTCGCCTTTTGCAGCAAGCATGGGTTCCTGAAGACCTATTCTATCCCAGATCTTCATTTGTTTGTTATAAATATGATGTGGTTGATGTCAACATAACTTGATGGAAGAGGTCTATGCATGGGTTGCTGAAGATCTATTCTCTACCCGGATCTTCACGGGTTCATTTATAATAGGGAATATGACAGATAACATAGGTAAAGTCTACAGAATAAGATGGTTTGTTTGTTGTTTACTGTGGTGCAACAATGTCAAAACCAACATTGTGCATATTTTCAATCCATTCCTGAATGCATACTGGCCTAAAAAAATCTGTTCAACAAAAAAACAACAAATTTTGACAAGTGGGTCTTACATTCAAAGGGATATAGCTGCCCATTCACACAAGTTCTCCAACAGTCATCACGACACAAGGAACAGGTAAGTGTTTATAACTGATGAAAAGACAGTAAGGGTGAGGACCTTCTTCGGCACAACTGCAACAACAAGTCATTTCAGATCCTAACATCGAAATGCTGTATAATCGTATTAAAGTTGATCACTCATGCTACCTTGTCATTTGTTACACTGCCATTTAAAGATCCACTGCTTATAGTCCCGCTGCCTATGGGAAAAATAATGAACAGCATGTTCTATAATAAGCATTAAATACACCTTCCAATCAGGTTTCACAGCATATTGTGTTGTGGGGCTGGTGTGTGCTTTGAAACCCATATATTGTGTTGTCGGGCCAGTGTATGCTGTGAAACCCATATATTGTGTTGTGGGGCTGGTGTGTGCTGTGAAACCCATATATTGTGTTGTCAGGCTGGTGTTTGCTGTGAAACCCATATATTGTCTTGTTGGGCTGGTGTATGCTGTGAAACCTATATATTGTGTTGTCCGGCTGGTGTATGCTGTGAAACCCATATATTGTGTTGTCAGGCCAGTGTATGCTGTGAAACCTATATATTGTGTTGTCAGGCCAGTGTATGCTGTGAAACCCATATATGGTGTTGTTAGACCGGTGTATGCTGTGAAACCTATATATTGTGTTGTCAGGCCAGTGTATGCTGTGAAACCCATATATTGTGTTGTCAGGCTGGTGTATGCTGTGAAATCCATATATTGTGTTGTCAGGCCAGTGAATACTGTGAAACCTGTATATTGTGTTGTCGGGCTGGTGTATGCTGTGAAACCCATATATTGTGTTGTCAGGCCGGTGTATGCTGTGAAACCAATATATTGTGTTGACAGGCTGGTGTATGCTGTGAAACCCATATATTGTGTTGTCAGGCTGGTGTATGCTGTGAAACCAATATATTGTGTTGTCAGGCTGGTGTATGCTGTGAAACCCATATATTGTGTTGTCAGGCCGGTGTATGCTGTGAAACCCATATATTGTGTTGTCCGGCTGGTGTATGCTGTGAAACCTATATAATGTGTTGTCAGGACGGTGTATGCTGTGAAACCAATATATTGTGTTGTCATGCTGGTGTTTGCTGTGATACCATTATATTGTGTTGTTAGGCCAGTGTATGCTGGAAACCCATATATTGTGTTGTCAGGCCAGTGTATGCTGTGAAACCCATATATTGTGTTGTCGGGCTGGTGTAAGCTGTGAAACAGATATATTATGTTGTAAGACCGGTGTATGCCGTGAAACCTACATATTGTGTTGTCAGGCCAGTGAATACTGTGAAACCCATATATTGTGTTGTCGGGCTGGTGTATGCTGTGAAACCCATATATTGTGTTGTCGGGCTGGCGTAAGCTGTGAAACCCATATATTGTGTTGTCAGGCTGGCATAAGCTGTGAAACCCATATATTGTGTTGTCAGGCTGGCGTAAGCTGTGAAACCCATGAATGGTGCTGCCAGGCCTCTAGTCACTAATCATCAGACTGTCACCACCAGGTGGCAGCACCTACAGCAGCGTGATGTCGTGGTCAGTCTGTAGTTTCTGTGTGGCTACTTGGTCCAGGGTAAACACGATGTCTTTAGGCTGTGGATAGCCCCCAGAGTGGCGCTGTGGTGCATTCAGTTGGAAGAAGGTTTCATGGCTCACTGCCTGATGGCCATACACACTGGCGGTGTGGGATCTGGAATGGTAACCATGCTGGATAGAGCAAAACAGGAATTTCATGTGTACAAATTTAACAATCTTTACAAAGAACTGGACAAGATGATTCCTCATTGATGTACCAGTAAATATTTGATAAATATCATTAACATTATCATTACAGTTACATCGAAACAACTTCCATTAAAAGTCAATTCCAGTTCTCTTAATTCTACAAGGTGCACTTTTCCCCGTTAAACATCTACTAACTGTCCCATATTTCCTGTTGTTTGTCTACCAACTATCTTTTAATTCTGTCAATTATCTCTCATGGTTTTAACTACTAACTACTAACATTTACTAATTGCTGTTCTACAAACTTGCCCTGTGTTAACAACAGCAATGTCTACAAATTGTTCATTGTCTACTATCTACTGACCATACACAACGCCATGACTACTGTTCATGTCTACAAACTGTCTAGTCTCTACTCAAAGCCCCTACAGATAACAGTCCCTGTCTACTGTTCCACTAATAGCCAAACATCTACTGTTCAGGTCTACTCTCCCCTCAAAGCCCTGTGTCAACTGTTCAGGTCTACTCTCCACCCAAAGCCCTGTGTTTATTGTCCAGGTCTACTCTCTGCCCAAAGCCCTGTGTCTACTGTCCAGGTCTACTCTCCGCCCAAAGCCCTGTGTCTACTGTCCAGGTCTACTCTCCACTCAAAGCCCTGTGTCTACTGTCCAGGTCTACTCTCCACTCACAGCCCTGTGTCTACTGTCCAGGTCTACTCTCCACTCAAAGCCCTGTGTCTACTGTCCAGGTCTTCTCTCCACCCAAAGCCCTGTGTCTACTGTCCAGGTCTACTCTCCACTCACATCCCTGTGTCTACTGTTCAGGTCTACTCTCCACTCAAAGCCCTGTGTCTACTGTCCAGGTCTACCCTCCACTCAAAGCCCTGTGTCTACTGTCCAGGTCTACTCTCCACCCAAAGCCCTGTGTCTACTGTCCAGGTCTACTCTCCACTCAAAGCCCTGTGTCTACTGACCTAAGCAAGATGTCTGCCATGGTTGGATTCTGTTGGAAGTAGTGATGTATTTTGGTGGACGTTCCCACAAACTCGTGCGCCGCCCCGGTCACCGACTCCATCACGTTCCCTGCAGGCAACAGCAACCAACTTCAATACATGGAAGAAACTGTTGTGATTACAAACAGAAGACAGTTGTCACAACCAGCAGAATATACCCATTGTTCTTTGACTTGTGAACAAAAAACAAGTCCTACCCTCATAGGAACCTTAAACCAATTTGTCGGCATGAAATCCAACAAACATATATATTTCCAAATGTCCTAACTATTTAAAGGATCCAGTTCATTGCCAGGCTGATATCTGATAAAAAATTTATGGAACACTCTTGGAGTTACACTCCAGAAACCAAACTATTCTTGTGTCCCCCTCCGACTTGGTGCGGGGATATTGGAGTGTCCTGAACAAAATTATTATGAATTCCAAAATCACCACATCCAATGTATTAATCATCCCACAGGCCAATGTATTGATCATCCCACAGGCCAATGTATTGATCATACCACAGGTCGATGTATTGATCATACCACAGGTCGATGTATTGATCATCCCACAGGCCAATGTGTCGATCATACCACAGGTCGATGTATCGATCATACCACAGGTAGATGTATCGATCATACCATAGGTCTATGTATTGATCATCCCACAGGCCAATGTGTTGATCATACCACAGGTAGATGTATCGATCATACCATAGGTCTATGTATTGATCATACCACAGGTCGATGTATCGATCATACCACAGGTAGATGTATCGATCATACCATAGGTCTATGTATTGATCATACCACAGGTCGATGTATCGATCATACCACAGGTTGATTATTGATCATACCACAGGTCGATGTATTGATCATACCACAGGTCGATGTATCGATCATACCACAGGTCAAAGTATCGATCATACACAGGTCGATGTATCAATCATACCACAGGTCGATGTATCAGTCATACCACAGGTTGATGTATCGATCATACCACAGGTCAAAGTATTGATCATACCACAAGTCGATGTATTGATCATCCCACAGGTTGATGTATCGATCATACCAAAGGTCCAAGTATCGATCATACCACAGGTCGATGTATCGACAAAACCACAGGTCGATGTATCGATCATACCACAGGTCAATGTATCGATCATACCACAAGTCGATGTATTGATCATACCACAGGTAGGTTGATGTATCGATCATACCACAGGTCGATGTATCGATCATACCAAAGGTCAATGTATCGATCATACCAATCCAAGTATCGATCATCCCACAGGCCGATGTATCGATCATACCACAGGTCGATGTATCGATCATACCATAGATCTATGTATTGATCATCCCACAGGTCGATGTATCGATTGTACCACAGGTCGATGTATCGATCTTACCATAGGTCGATGTATCGATCATACCAATGGTCCAAGTATCGATCATACCACAGGTCGATGTATCGATCATACCACAGGTCGATGTATCGATCATACCACAGGTCGATGTATTGATCATACCACAGGTCAATGTATCGACCATACCACAAGTCGATGTATCGATCATACCACAGGTTGATGTATCGATCATACCACAGGTCGATGTATCGATACATTATATATTTATTTGAATGTTACTGGTATTGTGGCTGAAGACTAAAACTCAGTGTATCACAGCATGACTTTCTTATCTTCACCATTGTCACAACAATGTCTACTTGTTGGAGTGAATGAGTGAGTGCGTACGTTTTTTTAGCAATATTCCAGCAATATCATGAGAGGACACCAGAAATGGGCTTCACACAGTGTACCCATGTGGGGATTCGAGCCAGGGTCTTCGGCGTGATGAGTGAATCTAGAAGCATGGGGCTATGATGTAGGCAATGGCACTTTTCTGAACCATGCTATGTATAGAGCGAGAGCTACAGATAAGCAGCGTAAACGGTATTTGCGTAAAATACCCCCTCCCACCCTCAAATATTCAAAACCCAATTACTTTCAATTAACTTGCATACAGAAACGCATGCTTGAAATGAAAAACTCAAATCTATAAATACAGCTTGCGTAAATACCCAATGAAGCCTTTTCAGCATGTGTACAAAGGAGCTAATTACATGTTAATTTACTTTCCGAGTCAAGCCTATATATTTAGAACAGTTATGAATATCTAAAACATTATAATGTTCACTAATTTGGGGAAAAAGCCAATAGAGTGATGAATAGCTGAGTGAAAAAATATTGGTTACCCAATGAAAAATGTAATAACCCAATTAAAATAGAAACCCTAGAGTAAAAACTCAATGGCTCAATAAGTTATCTGGAGCTCTGTTATCCTGACTGTATCATGCTGCCCCTGGACACGGGAGGCGTGCCATTGAGCTGTAATCTTACCTGAGACATTCCGCGTGAAGGAGTCATAGCGGAGGAAGCTGTAGCTGCCGATGCCACGCTGCGGAGTAAAGACACACTGACTTGGTGAACAGAGGGGTTCAGAGGCACATAGATAATATGACAATGAATCAAATAGAACTCTTTGTCTAGCCAACGAGTATCATGTCCAATATATGAAAATCTAGCATTTAGCATGACAATATGAAATGTGTATTCTTATCATGCTCATGATTCTACCAGATAAACTTATTTGATATTTCTGTATTCTGCTGACAATGCAAATATTATATGCACATATTACAGCATCCATTGGGTGATAATGTCATCCATTGTCTGATGTCACCCATTGTGTGATATCATCCATTCTGTGATGATGTCACATATTGTCTGATGTCATATAATGTGTGATGATGTCATCTGTTGTATGATGTCATCCGTTGTGTGATGATGTATTCCATTGTGTGATGATGTCACATATTGTCTGATGTCATATAATTTGTGATGATGTCATCCGTTGTGTGATGATGTAATCCGTTGTGTGATGATGTAATCCGTTGTGTGATGATGTATTCCATTGTGTGATTTCATCCATTGTGTGATGATGTCACATATTGTCTGATGTATTCCATTGTGGGATTTCATCCATTGTGTGATGATGTCACATATTGTCTGATGTCATATAATGTGTGATGATGTCATCCGTTGTGTGATGATGTATTCCATTGTGTCCTGTCATCCATCATAGGATGACATCACCTAAAATTGACTTCACAGACTGCTTGTGTAATTATTAAAATAAAAGGCTGTAGGCAACAATACGAAATCCTCAAACAGTGCAGTATAGTGATACAAGCCCGAAACCCCTATTGCCAGCCAACCAGGAAAGAGTACCGGTAGTCTAAATTTGGTTATCATCCAAAACTGGCTCCCACAGGAGATATCGCTTGGGTGAGATCAAGGAATGAAATTGCATCACAATGCTTTGCAGACCATTGGTTACCATGACGTCACACTCAAATGACATCAATAATGGCTCTGCTACTGAAGCTGTTAGCAGTACTTTTTACACTTAAAACACTGCTTATTACTGTCTACAAACTGAAAAAGTTTGAAGAATGATGTTGGATGATAAACAAACATGATAAAATCATAACCTTGTGTCTTTTGATATCAAATATATCAACACTCGATGATAAAAGATTTTAAAGTGGAAAAACTCCTCGGCCAGCCTTGGAGTTTTGCCACTTTTATCAACTCGTATTGATATATCTCTTTTTAAATGAATAAATGCTTGGTGAGCCAGGCAACTGCCATGGAGGTGAGGTGAGGTGAGGTGAGGTGAGGTGAGGTGAGGTGAGGTGAGGTGAGGTGAGGTGAGGTGAGGTGAGGTGAGGTGAGTGGGTGACTGGGTGGGTGAGTGAGTGAGTGAGTGAGTGAGTGAGTGAGTGAGTGAGTGAGTGAGTGAGTGGGTGGGTGGGTTTGGGGTGGGTGAGTGAGTGAGTGAGTGAGTGAGTGAGTGAGTGAGTATGATTTCACGCCGCTTTTAGCAATATTACAGCAATATCACGGCGGGGAACACCAGAAATGGATTCAGCATCTTCCCAAGGCAAGGGAGTTAACTGACTATAAAAGTCTAGTTTCCACCCTTGCCGGACTAGGCTGGTATTATGGAGTTACATTTTGGCTGGACTAACAACGAAATCAAAATCCGGTTCATAAACTGTCATTCAGATTTTGGTCAGTTGCAGGATTTGCAAAGCACCGCTTTGTCATCAGATATTTTCCAAATCTTTTCATGTTTCTAATCAAGGTGCTCATGTGATTTGATGCACTTCAAGATGTAAGACCCGTTTCATTACAATATAGATCTCGATTATCTATCAGATCGTCTTGACAGGGCGCCGCCATTTTGTTTGAAGCAAATGCAAGTGATACGAGAGGTGGAATCTGATTGGTCAGTAGGAGAGGCATAAAAGGGACATAACTCGTAACAGCCACTGGTGGCGCTACAATCGAGCCCAGGAATTCCAGCCTAGTTCAGCGAGGGTGGATACTGAACTCAGTTAACTCCCTTGCCTCGGGAAGACATGGATACAGGGGAGATAACAATGTGAGAGAAAAATGACTTCTGTGTTGCCAGTGTTTTGTCAATCAAATTCAAAGGGAAACATCATTTTTTACATTCCCTGAAAATGTCTCTGAGTGACTTGGTCATAGCATGAACTTCCTGAACATTTCCATGTGGTTAAGGTTGATGTAAATCTAATTTGATCATTTTAAAAATACTTTTGCTAAATTTACAACAGACTCGTCCCTTAAACAAGCAAGAATTTGTCCTCCAAACTACCTGCCCTTCTTCCATTACCAATTTGCAGGACACCTTGAGGTAGCTTGAATATTATCAACAAGTGGGAGTTGTTTATTTCTTATAGGTGAAGTGAGGTGAAATTGGGTTTAACGTCGCGTCCAAAATTATTGTACTTATACTTATATGCATGTACGTGTATGTGATTGTGTGGCTGCTTGTACTAGTCCAGACTGATGCCGCATTATAGTGCTAGCTCACTGAGATACCATGCCGCAGTTTAACATGAATACCCCACTCAGACACAGTATACTGACTCCGAGCCGACCAGACCTTGTTTTAGCCCCTTAATGCCGAGCACCAGACAGGGTAACAACAAGTGCCATCTTTTAACGTCTTTTGGTATGACGCGGCTGGAGATCGAACCCCGGACCTTCCGCTCTCCGGACGGACGCTCTGCCACTAGACCATGGAGGCGGTCCATTTGTGAATGAAATTTTGTGAAGATTTTATAGTAAACAAGACAATATATGTTTAACCGAATATACCGGAACACAGAAAAAATGTTGCAGTGTGTTTACTGTGACATCATCCATTGTAGAGTTGTGTCATGAATTGTTCACAGTTGAACATGTACAAACAGAGCGCTGGGGAAAACTAAGGAGAAGTTTTCTATTTGCAATATCTAGAAACATTATGCGTTTTTGAATTTGATTATCAGACAAATGGACATTTTTCACATTGAATTTGAATTTTATTCTGTTCTAAGATCATGGAGATGACACGGGAGGAGAGAACTCACCTCTTCTGAGCTGTGTGACTCGAGGCTTTCCTTCACTTCATAGTCCAGCTCAGCAAGATGCGGCAGAGAACCACGCCACTGTTTGAAAGAATGAAGGTTAATCAATCTGGACCCCTAAACAGTAATGGATAGACCTCTTCCATCAAGTTACGTTGACATCAACCACATCATATTTATAACAAACAAATGAAGATCCGGGATAGAATAGGTCTTCAGGAACCCATGCTTGCCGTAAAAGGCGACTATGCTTGTTGTAAGATGCAATTAACTGGATCGGGTGGTCAGGCTCGCTGACTTGTTTGATGCATGTCATCATATCCCAATTGCGTGGATCGATGCTCATGATGTCAATCAATGGATTGTCTGGTCCATACTTGATTATTTACAGACCGCCGTCATATAGCTGGAATATTGCTGAGTGCGGCATTAAACAACAAAAAAACCAAACAAACAAACAAATACCTTAAAGCCACTTTTGGAGAAAACCAGTTTTTCCATATTTCTTTTCAATGAAAATCAGCAATGTTACAAACAATCAAATTAAAATCAGATCCAAGCAACTTTCAAGACAGGGTTAGCCAGAACTTCACTCAGAGATGTCATATCAGAGTAAGAGATCCAATTTTAATGAGATGGTTTTACCAAGGCGATAAACCTTGTGATTGTTATATGACAGCAAAATTCCTTAACTCAATCTGTTCTGATTAATTTTCAAATTTATTTTGTTCAAGAATTTTGCGATTTTTTTACACAGATGACACATTACAGTTTATCTCTCATGTCCAGCTGATAAAATCCAAGCCAAAAAATAATGTTTTTGTTGTAAAACCAGAGTCAATTTACTTTTTCCAAATAGTTCAACCAACCCCCCACCAGAATATCCAATAGTGTGTCCCTTATGATTGTTATCAGTCAACTCGCTGGGTAAGAACTGGTCTTCAGCAACCCATGCTTGTCTAACCTTTGAAGATTACTGTTAAAACTGGTCTTCAGCAACCCATGCTTGTCTAACCTTTGAAGATTACTGTTAAAACTGGTCTTCAGCAACCCATGCTTGTCTAACCTTTGAAGATTACAGTTAAAACTGGTCTTCAGCAACCCATGCTTGTCTAACCTTTGAAGATTACTGTTAAAACTGGTCTTCAGCAACCCAGGCTTGTCTAACCCCTGAAGATTACAGTTAAAACTGGTCTTCAGCAACCCATGCTTGTCTAACCCCTGAAGATTACAGTTAAAACTGGTCTTCAGCAACCCATGCTTGTCTAACCCGTGAAGATTACAGTTAAAACTGGTCTTCAGCAACCCATGCTTGTCTAACCCGTGAAGATTACAGTTAAAACTGGTCTTCAGCAACCCATGCTTGTCTAACCTTTGAAGATTACAGTTAAAACTGGTCTTCAGCAACCCATGCTTGTCTAACCTTTGAAGATTACAGTTAAAACTGGTCTTCAGCAACCCATGCTTGTCTAACCTTTGAAGATTATGGTTAAAACTGGTCTTCAGCAACCCATGCTTGTCTAACCTTTGAAGATTACTGTTAAAACTGGTCTTCAGCAACCCAGGCTTGTCTAACCCCTGAAGATTACAGTTAAAACTGGTCTTCAGCAACCCATGCTTGTCTAACCCCTGAAGATTACAGTTAAAACTGGTCTTCAGCAACCCATGCTTGTCTAACCTTTGAAGATTACAGTTAAAACTGGTCTTCAGCAACCCATGCTTGTCTAACCTTTGAAGATTACAGTTAAAACTGGTCTTCAGCAACCCATGCTTGTCTAACCCATGAAGATTATGGTTAAAACTGGTCTTCAGCAACCCATGCTTGTCTAACCCATGAAGATTATGGTTAAAACTGGTCTTCAGCAACCCATGCTTGTCTAACCCGTGAAGATTACAGTTAAAACTGGTCTTCAGCAACCCATGGTTGTGTAACCCATGAAGTTTACGGTTAAAACGGGTCTTCAGTAACCCATGCTTGTCTAACCTGTGAAGATTACAGTTCAAACGGGTCTTCAGTAACCCATGCTTGTCTAACCCATGAAGATTACGGTTAAAACGGGTCTTCAGTAACCCATGCTTGTCTAACCTGTGAAGATTACAGTTCAAACGGGTCTTCAGTAACCCATGCTTGTCTAACCCATGAAGATTACGGTTAAAACGGGTCTTCAGCAACCCATGCTTGTCTAACCTTTGAAGATTACAGTTAAAACTGGTCTTCAGCAACCCATGCTTGTCTAACCCATGAAGATTATGGTTAAAACTGGTCTTCAGCAACCCATGCTTGTCTAACCCATGAAGATTATGGTTAAAACGGGTCTTCAGCAACCCATGCTTGTCTAACCTTTGAAGATTACAGTTAAAACTGGTCTTCAGCAACCCATGCTTGTCTAACCCATGAAGATTATGGTTAAAACTGGTCTTCAGCAACCCATGCTTGTCTAACCCATGAAGATTATGGTTAAAACTGGTCTTCAGCAACCCATGCTTGTCTAACCCATGAAGATTATGGTTAAAACTGGTCTTCAGCAACCCATGCTTGTCTAACCTTTGAAGATTATGGTTAAAACTGGTCTTCAGCAACCCAGGCTTGTCTAACCCCTGAAGATTACAGTTAAAACTGGTCTTCAGCAACCCATGCTTGTCTAACCCATGAAGATTACAGTTCAAACGGGTCTTCAGTAACCCATGCTTGTCTAACCCATGAAGATTACGGTTAAAAAGGGTCTTCAGTAACCCATGCTTGTCTAACCCGTGAAGATTACGGTTAAAACGGGTCTTCAGCAACCCATGCTTGTCTAACCTTTGAAGATTACAGTTAAAACTGGTCTTCAGCAACCCATGCTTGTCTAACCCATGAAGATTATGGTTAAAACTGGTCTTCAGCAACCCATGCTTGTCTAACCCGTGAAGATTACGGTTAAAACTGGTCTTCAGCAACCCATGCTTGTCTAACCCATGAAGATTATGGTTAAAACTGGTCTTCAGCAACCCATGCTTGTCTAACCCATGAAGATTATGGTTAAAACTGGTCTTCAGCAACCCATGCTTGTCTAACCCATGAAGATTATGGTTAAAACTGGTCTTCAGCAACCCATGCTTGTCTAACCCATGAAGATTATGGTTAAAACTGGTCTTCAGCAACCCATGCTTGTCTAACCCGTGAAGATTACGGTTAAAACTGGTCTTCAGCAACCCATGCTTGTCTAACCCATGAAGATTATGGTTAAAACTGGTCTTCAGCAACCCATGCTTGTCTAACCCATGAAGATTATGGTTAAAACTGGTCTTCAGTAACCCATGCTTGTCTAACCCGTGAAGATTACGGTTAAAACGGGAGACTCTCAGACTCTGAGACTTGGTTAAAACATGTCATCGTATCCTATTTGCAAAGATCGATGCTCGTGATTGATTGTCTGGTTCAGACTGAAGTTATTTACAGGCCGCTGTCACATAGCTGGAACACTGCCGAGTGCGACGTTAAACAACAAACAAACATATCAACCAATTACATGTTCCACCTACCAACTCGGAAACCAGCGGCTTGTCACACTTGACCCCCTTCTCTAGCAGCAGCAGCAGTAACATTTCTGAATGACCTTGAACATACAGGGTAAGGTCAACCAGTCCATCAGTCTCTGCCATCCAGCTCCCGCTCGTCTCACCCTCGCTGGGCGAGTAAGAGGAGGACACATAACTCTCCGAACTGGCAACAAAGTTCACATTTTTTACCTCTGTAGATATGGATGGTGACTTCCATGGCCACCCTGTATTTTGGTCTGTTATAGAAACATTCTGGTCATCTGTGAACTCCAGTGTTTCCTTGTGAGAAGACATGCCATCATCTGACACAGACGAAACCGTTCCACCGCTTCGTCCAAAGGGTTTATCTTCACAGGAAAGTGGAGTAACTGCATCATTCTCGGAGTCTGTCACTCCTGCTGGTTCAGACTGGTTTACACCAGTTCTTGTCACATGACCTCCATCCTCCGCTATGTACTCGTCACTTGTACAGCTAAGTGCCAAGTGTGGAGCATTGCTAATGTCAGGTGAACCAGTCGATATGGAATCCTGTTTCGAACTGTTTTGAAGTTCAGACACTTTTTCTTTATCTCTATCTAATTCAGTTTGCACTGAGATTTCCGACTCTTCTTGTCTATCACTTGAATGATGTCCTGAATCTAATTCATTAAATGATTCAATTTCAGATTCAGATTTGGAGGTAGTCTCTGAACTTTGATTTACGAAGTCTACATTACTAGAGTCAGTTTCAACCTTACTTCTGTCTTCTTCGGTTAGATTTGGATCTTCAGAAGATGCTGTAGGGGATATATCAGATGCTGCCTTGCTTGTGTCTTCTTCACTGACACTGATGTTAGTTTCTTTTTGAGAAGCACAGTCTTCTTTGTCACTAGACCTATCAGAAATAACATCTGCTCCCTGAACAGGTTTGTCACTGTCAACAACATGACCTTCAAAACCGACAACAGCAGAATCTTCCAAAAACAGCCCATCGTCAGTTGATTTTCCATCTCGAGAATTGTCATCTATATCTTTATTTGCACCACTTTCATCCTCAGAGAAAGACTTTCGGATTCCATTGAATCTTTTGATGTCACTATCCTTTTCCGTCTTGACATCTGAATCTGAACAACTTACAACTTTTTGTGCACCAGGTGATCCATCGTCTTTGGGAGTTATCTCCCTTGTTTCCCTCGATTTATGCAGAGTTATTTCCCCTTCAAGTTTCACGTGAGGAGAATTTTCTTGAGATTTCATTTTTGTATTTATCACTTTATTTGTTTCTAGAGATTCTGGTTCACTATCAAAATCTGTATTTCCCCCATTCAAAATCCTCTGCACTATATCTTTCAGCGGAGGCGGTAGTGCCGGTGAAAAGGCACTGTGACATTGCAGAGAAGGTACAGAAGCAGGATCGGAGGGCATCAGAGCCTTTGTGTCAAGGAACAGAAATTGTCTGTTGCTGGAAGGTCCGGGTTTGGACCTGAGTGAGGTCTGTCTGCGCCCACTCATTCTGCTGTATTCCTGTGAAGGCAGGAAGACTCTCAGGAGACGCAGACCTCCCGGTAACTCGAAATCTGAAATAATATTAAACCTACTGAAAAACTATTGAAACATTCCCCAGTGGGAATTCTGTGTCAGGATAGAACCCCAGCAACCCATGCCAGTTGTAAGAGGCGACATACGGATGGGGTGGTCAAACTGATCACAACCTAACTCCACCCTTAGCTTTATTCCAGCTATATGGATTGCATTTTGTTTGTTTGTTGTTTACACCACACTCAGCAATATTCTAGCCATATGACGGTGGTTTGTAAATAATTGAGTCTGGACCAGACAATCCAGTGATTGACATCATGAGCATCGATCCACGCAATTGGGATACAATGACATGCATCACCCGATCCCGTTTGTCGCCTCTTACGACAAGCGTACCCCGTATCTTCACGGGTCAGATTGCATTTTGACCAGTTTCATTGAAATGTATTCTATTAAATCCTCATGGAGCTGAAAAAAATATGTAAAAGTGAGTGAGTGGGTGGGTGGGTGGGTGAGTGGGTGAGTGAGTGAGTGAGTGGGTGGGTGGGTGGGTGGGTGGGTGAGTGAGTGAGTGAGTGAGTGAGTGAGTGAGTGAGTGAGTGAGTGAGTGAGTGAGTGAGTGAGTGAGTGAGTGAGTGAGTGAGTGAGTGGGTGGGTGGGTGGGTGGGTGGGTGGGTGGGTGGGTGGGTGAGTGAGTGAGTTGGGTGTAACGCCAGTCACTTCACGGCGTGTCAACATAATGTGGGAGGAAAGCCCAAAGTGATGCAGGTCTCAGACATTTACCACTTCGGTGAAACCCACGAGCATGGGTATGGTGCTGACAAACCTAGAAACATAATCGGGGCGAATCGGGATTCGAACACACAATCATAGGTTTCTGGCGTGCCCAAGGGACGCAACTCTGCACAGCTAATCGCGGCGCCTTAGACGACTGGGCCACCCGTGCCCCCGTCAAATTAAGTGAGAAACGGTGACTGTTGAACATTTTACAGATGAAGTCTTTGAAATGCATTTAGAAGTGATACACATAAGGAAGAGAATTTATGGATGTCAACTTCTTTATAATGAGGAACACAACGTTTCAGAGTACATACTTACTCCTTCATCATACTCTGACACGTTGTGTTCCTCATAATAAAGAAGTTGACATCCATAAATTCTCTCCCTTATTTTACGGATGATTGGCTACATCTAAATGTTGTCTTACTTAATGTGTCTTACCAGGTTTTATTTCTTGGCATGGCAGCTACAACAGAATGGATAAAAAGAGAAATTATAATGTTTAAATAGTTAATTCACAAAACAACCCAACAATTTAGCCTTACACAAACAACGTGAGACAAACAAACAACGCTGGGCAAACATATGGAATAGGCTACAATAAGCCTCTCATCACACTGAGACAAAATCTGACAGAGGTTTGTCCTTATATCCCAAGGATTTAAGAAAAATATGGTGAGTGGGGGTTGTTTAGTGTACATTAAGACACTGCAGGGAGAATAAACCATGATACCGTCGTCCAATTTACATCATCAAGATGCGAGCGCATGTTTGAATTTCCAGAAATGATTTCATGATAGAACAATGTTTTATTGTGAAATAAACCATGCTTCATTCTTCATTGTTCTTTGTGAGTAATCGCGTAGCTTTCTCATACTAGAACATACATGATTCTGTTGAGGCTTGAGAAGGAGAAGTCTCTTTGTGACATCGGGGGACAGTTGTGTGGACAACACTCTGTGTGAAACAACAACCGAGAGGCATCATTACTTCAAACAAGGATAAAACAAAGGGATAAAACACGCTATCAGTCAGCCCAGTGTAAACAACCAAACAGTGAAACAAATGTCATATTTGGGATAACACTTTCTTAGAAACATAGTTTGTTGTTTATTTGTTGTTTAACGCCCTACTCAGCAATATTCCAGCTATATGACGGCGGTCTGTAAATAATCAAGTATGGACCAGACAATTCAGTGATTGACATCATGAGCATTGATTCATGCAATTGGGATCGATGACATGCATCAACCAAGTCAGCGAGCCTGACCACCCAATCTTGTTAGTCGCCTCTTATGACAAGCATAGTCGCCTCTTACGGCAAGCATGGGTTGCTGAAAAGTCTCAGACAAGAAGCGGTGTCGACAGCCAGTCGACCGATGCAGATCAATCGAGCGGATCTGCCAAACCCTCAAAGTCTGGACAATCATTTTGTATGTCGTGGCTAACGACTTTCGATTGGTTGACATACAATGAGGATTTGCAGATTTTATTGTTTTCAGTAGCTAGTCGTATATTGAATTTTGATTGACCGTCATTTTGCTTTCTGTGACGATCGATATCAAATTTATTTATGGTCAATAATTAAGTACAGATGAAAAAAGTATTCAAATAACTATTGCTATCAACGATATTTTAGTATTTGTGATTATATTATCTGTCTTGTTTTTAAATAATCTTTAGGTTAAAAAAAACCCTTTTCCCATGAGGTCACGTGATAACCAAATATGCGTACACTTGAGCAGACTCATGAATATAATATTAATTACACCGTTCACTACGTTAACAGATCGTTATTATAACAGAAACAAACGTATGTTTTCCATGTATATCTAAAATGATATTATTTGTTATTAACTGTCCGGTGAATTAAACAATTTAAATTGAAACAATTCATAATTCATCATATTATGAATACGTAACAACTTGTAATGTGTGTGAAAAGTCGTACTAAAATACGCTATTTTGAAGGGGGCGTGGCCTAAATGCAAATGTCCAATTGGGATTTTAAATTTTCCGGACCCCTGCTGAAAACCTATTCTTCCCCGGATCTTCACGGGTCTCTTAGAAATGTACAGATTCCAGTACTTTTGGGGGTTGAGTCCCATCTGGGATTTGAACCCACACTGCCAGAATAAGGCACCTAATCACCAGCACACAAAGTCAGCGATCTAACTGGGACTCAAGAAAAAATAGTACTAGAATCTGTACTTTACTTAGAAAGTGTTATCCCAAAACTAACTTTTGTTACATCTGACATCTCTCCAAATGGCATTGCGTTTTCATAACAAAACAATGAGTGTGGTCTCCCGTGAACCACTGATTTCTGGATAAACTTATTCAGCATCACAACAATTACCCCTTGCCAGGTTAGCTACAGAAGTAGGTTCAGCAGCACATCCAAACATCTTACCAACCAATCAAACATGGAGATAAGGAAAAAGGAGTGAGTGAGAAGGGTTTAACGCCGCTTTTAACAGTATTCCAGTTATATCACGGCGTGTCAGCTTAATGTGGGAGGAAAGGCCAAAGTGATGCACGTCTCAGACATTTACCACTTCGGTGAAACCCACGAGCACAGGTATGGTGCTGACAAACCTAGAAACATAATCGGGGCGAACCGGGATTCGAACCCACAATCTAGGTTTCTGGCGTGCCCAAGGGACGCAATTCTGCACAGCGCCTTAGACGACTGGGCCACCCATGCCCCCTAAGGAAAAAGGAAATGTGCAAGGATGGAGGACATTAAAGACATTTTTTTGGGCTTTCTTTGGCTTTCACTCCACCATAATCAATGGGACTGGCCGCCATGTTGTTTATAACCCAACCCAACATTGAGGCTGGTTTGTAACTTGCACTCGAAGTAGTCTGTTACGCTACGCAGCAATTCAAAATGGCTGATGAAAATCAAGGGCAGGTAATCTGAGATTGCGAGAACCAGGATCCAGGGGTTAGAGTAGGTTTATTGAAATGCGAGCCCTGGCGATATAGAGGATGAAAAAGTAGACACAATTTATGGATAACAAGTCTTGCTAGACAATGGTATAAGGATCTATATCGAAACGTCACGTTTTACAGTATTAAAGAAGTTGTTATCAATAAAATTGTCACCCGTCAACTTCTAAGTAATGCCTATCAAACAATTTGATGTAGGGGATGTATCAATATTGCCAAGACAAGCATGGACTTTGTCATTCTAATGATTGTGTGTGTGGGGGTGTTTGTTTCTAATGCTGCTGTCAGCAATATTCCAGCTATTTGACGATGGCCTCTAAATAATCGCGTATACACTAGACAATCCAGTGACTGATAACTGATTGCTGCACTCAGCAATATTCCATCTATTTGATGATGGTCTCTAAATAATCGCGTCTAGACCAGACAATCCAGTGACTGATAATGCGAGCACCGAAAATGATTATCCACAACGTACTTGCTCTTGTAGAGCAGGGCTCCCCCTATGACCCCGTTCTGTCGGTGACAGCGTTGCAGGATGTGTGAAGCATGGAGGAACGTCTTGCAGTAGCTCTGATTGGACAAGCAAAAGAGTTATTATTAACATGTGACAATGTGATACCAATCAATTATACTGATGTATTCTGTATTTGTGGATGTTAGCATTGTGTGTTGTGTTAGCCATTTGAATTTCCTTCTGTAGGACATACATATACTACTCAAAATATGACTATAGTTAATCTGTCATGGCATGATTCTAACCTTTTCTAACCCAGAATCCCCACGACCAGCATAGAATCCTGGGGACCTATTCTAACCCAGAATTCCCACGACCAGCATAGAATGCTGGGGACCTATTCTAACCCAGAATCCCCACGACCAGCATAGAATGCTGGGGACCTATTCTAACCCAGAATTCCCACGACCAGCATAGAATGCTGGGGACCTATTCTAACCCAGAATTCCCACGACCAGCATAGAATGCTGGGGACCTATTCTAACCCAGAATCCCCACGACCAGCATAGAATGCTGGGGACCTATTCTAACCCAGAATCCCCACGACCAGCATAGAATGCTGGGGACCTATTCTAACCCAGAATCCCCACGACCAGCATAGAATGCTGGGGACCTATTCTAACCCAGAATTCCCACGACCAGCATAGGTTGCTGGGGACCTATTCTAACCCAGAATCTCTATCACCAACAAAGGTTGCTGAGGACGTATTCCAATCCAGAATTCCCGCGACCAGAATAGGTTGCTGGGAACCTATTCTAACCCAGAATTCCCACGACCAGCATAGGTTGCTGGGGACCTATTCTAACCCGGAATCCCCATCACCAACAAAGGTTGCTGGGGACCTATTCTAACCCAGAATCCCTGCAGCCAGAATAGGTTGCTGGGGACCTATTCTAACCTGGAATACCCACGACCAGCAAAGGTTGCTGAGGACGTATTCCAATCCGGAATTCCTGCGACCAGAATAGGTTGCTGGGGATCTATTCTAACCTGGAATACCCACGACCAGCATAGGTTGCTGGGGACCTATTCTAATACAGAATCCCCGCGACCAGCATAGGTTGCTGGGGACATATTCCAACCCAGAATCCCCGCGACCTGCATAGGTTGCTGGGGACCTATTCCAACCCAGAATCCCCGCGACCTGCATAGGTTGCTGGGGACCTATTCTAATACAGAATCCCCGCGACCAGCATAGGTTGCTGGGGACCTATTCCAACCCAGAATCCCCGCGACCTGCATAGGTTGCTGGGGACCTATTCTAACCCGGAATCCCCCTGACCAGCATAGGTTGCTGGTGACCTATTCTAACCCGGAATCCCCACAACCAGCAAAGGTTGCTTGGCATCTACTCTAACCCAGAATCCCCACGACCAGCAAAGGTTGATGGGGACCTATTCTAACCTGGTATCCCCACGACCAGCATTAGTTGCATGATTATTTCAGATTTGTGTGTGTTACAATACGGTGAAACAAGTTTAAAAATGCTTACTCCAGCCCTAGATGCAACACTGTTTTAATTCTGGCACAGTGCCAGTGCTCAAGTACCTTTGACAGTTGAACGTCTGGCAATATCTGAAACGCCTGTGACACCAGATCTCCGTAGACCTGACAAAAGGGTAGGTACATCTCCCATACCTTCGCTAGTTCAGCTGGAAAACTTTGAGGAGTCTTACATCGCTGAAAAAGTGGATATGGGCAAACACTTTAACCACCAGGCCGAGGAAAATAGGAGGTGAGGTGAAATGGGGTTTAACGTCGCGTCCAAGATTATTGCACTTATATAGCGACGTGCATGCACGTGTATGTGTGTGTGGCTGCTTGTACTAGCCAGGACTGATGCCAATTTATAGTGCTAGCACACTGAGAATACCATGCCGCAGTTTAACATGAATACCCCACTCAGACACAGTATGCTGACTCCGAGCCGACCAGTCCTTGTTTTAGCCCCTTAATGCCGAGCGCCAGACAGGGTAACAATAGGTACCATCTTTTAGCGTCTTTTGGTATGATGCGGCCTGGGATCGAACCCTGGACCTTCCACTCTCCGGGCGGACGCTCTACCATTAGACCACGGAGGCAGCCCAGGAAAATAGGAAGGAAAGGTTGTTTGAACCTGAAGTCAATACAAGGAGTAACACCTCTCTTTTACTACCATGACAAACCAGACTTATTCACTACAGGATCTTGGTGCGCTGCAACAGTATTAAAAACTTTCTTCAGCAATATTCCAGCTTTATGACGACAGTCTGAAAATAATCCAATCTGGACCAGACATACCAAAGATTGATACCATGTGCAACCACCCACGCTGTTGGCGTAAGACCAAATCATGAAGCCTGGCCAGCCAATCAATCCCATTGCCTCTCCAACTCCAGCATCGGATGCTGGGGACCTGTTCTAACCCAGAATCCACACAAGCACACAATTTAGACGCCTCTTACAACCAGCATCAGGTGCTGGGGACCTGTTCTAACCCAGAATCCACACAAGCACACAATTTAGACGCCTCTCCAACTCCAGCATCGGATGCTGGGGACCTGTTCTAACCCAGAATCCACACAAGCACACAATTTAGACGCCTCTTACAACCAGCATCAGGTGCTGGGGACCTGTTCTAACCCAGAATCCACACAAGCACACAATTTAGACGCCTCTTACAACCAGCATTGGGTGCTGGGGACACGTTCTAACCCAGAATCCACACAAGCACACAATTTAGACGCCTCTTACAACCAGCATCAGGTGCTGGGGACCCGTTCTAACCCAGAATCCACACAAGCACACAATTTAGACGCCTCTTACAACCAGCATCAGGTGCTGGGGACCCGTTCTAACCCAGAATCCACACAAGCACACAATTTAGACGCCTCTTACAACCAGCATCGGGTGCTGGGGACCTGTTCTAACCAAGAATCCACACAAGCACACAATTTAGACGCCTCTTACAACCAGCATCGGGTGCTGGGGACCTGTTCTAACCCAGAATCCACACAAGCACACAATTTAGACGCCTATTACAACCAGCATCAGGTGCTGGGGACCCGTTCTAACCCAGAATCCACACAAGCACACAATTTAGACGCCTCTTACAACCAGCATCAGGTGCTGGGGACCCGTTCTAACCCAGAATCCACACAAGCACACAATTTAGACGCCTCTTACAACCAGCATCAGGTGCTGGGGACCCGTTCTAACCCAGAATCCACACAAGCACACAATTTAGACGCCTCTTACAACCAGCATCAGGTGCTGGGGACCCGTTCTAACCCAGAATCCACACAAGCACACAATTTAGACGCCTCTTACAACCAGCATCAGGTGCTGGGGACCCGTTCTAACCCAGAATCCACACAAGCACACAATTTAGACGCCTCTTACAACCAGCATTGGGTGCTGGGGACCTATTCTAACCCAGAATCCACACAAGCACACAATTTAGACGCCTCTTACAACCAGCATTGGGTGCTGGGGACCTGTTCTAAGGCGAAATTACCACTGGGGTCTTCCAAACACGCTAAATGAAAGTTGTGAAATTTTCATAAAATTATACAAAAATGATGTGAACAGAATAGGATAACTTCAAAGTCTTTGAAACAAAAAATATGTCATATAAAAAAATGCATTTAATTACCTTTATCCTAACTTTGAAAAGAAATTGTGGCCATCAATGTTGAGCTAGTGGCCTTCTAGGTGACCTACCTGCCTCAAAGCTTCCAAACTGCCTTGGAAGAAAACAAACACTTTCCACACAAACTCAAAATGGCGAGTGATGAAGTCGTCCGGGATGAACAAGTCACAACCAAGGGCCTGACCAAACAAAGGGGTAACAGATTATAACTCATGATAGTGAATACCGTATTCGACGTAATAAGCGCCCCGCTCTATTAAGCGCCCATGGCGATATTTGCTAATATATTGGCTAGTGAACAATCCCAATTAACACCCCTTCCAATTGATCAATGTACACAAGACTTATTTATTCGTGTATAATAAACACTCAGGTGTTATATGCACCCTTAATTATGGGGAATTCAATTCTTGAAAACTATATCTGTCGTACATAAACATTTCAGGCGGTCAGCATAAACCACGAAATGTATCTTTCAACTCTGTTTTTTTTCCACCAAAATAATATTCTAATAAGAGCCCCCTATTCCTAATTTTGAGAGCGCCCTGGGCGCGTATTACGTCGAATACGGTATGTCATAATTCTATTGAATAATCTTAAGTAAAAAAATTTGAAATGTCCACAAAACACATGACCAAGTGTTTGAAATATGTTGTTCTTTAATTCCATAGTGAGTGAGTGAGTAAGGTGGGTTTAACACCGCTTTGAACAGGTTTGTTTGTTTGTTGTTTAACACAGCACTCAGCAATATTCCAGCTATATGACAGGGGTCTGTAAATAATTGAGTGTGGACCAGACAATCCAGTGATTGACATCATGAGCATCGATCCACGCAATTGGGATATGATGACATGCATCAACCATCAGCGAGTCTGACCACCCGATACAATAAGTCGTCTCTTACGACAAGCATAGTCGCCTACTTTGAACAGTATTCCAGTTATATCACAGCATGTCAGCTTAACGCTGGAGAAAAGCCTTAAGTGAAACTTACGAGCACCATTATGGTACTGAGTGAGTGAGTGAGTGAGTGAGTGAGTGAGTGAGTGAGTGAGTGAGTGAGTGAGTGGGTTTAACGCTGCTTTTAACAGTATTCCAGTGATATCGTGGCGTATCAGCTTAATGTGGGAGGAAAGCCCAAAGTGGTGCAGGTCTCAGACGTTTACCACTTCGGTGAAACCCACGAGCACAGGTATGGTGCTGACAAACCTAAAAACATAATTGGGGCGAACCGGGATTCGAACCCACAATCATAGATTTCTGGCATGCCCAAGAAGACGCAACTCTGCACAGTAAATCGTGGCATCTTAGACGACCGGGCCACCCTTGCCCCCAGTTATGGTACTGACAACCTATGAACATGATCCGGACGAACCAGGATTAAAAAAATGATCTTACGAAGATGCAACTTTTCACAGCGAATGGTGGCACCATAAGACGACTAGGCCACCCATGCCCCCTCTATAATTCAAAGGTCCTGTGCACTGAACATACATTTCAACTAACCTGATGAGACAATGTTTGCTCTGAGGAACATTCAAGTTATGACAAATTTTCTTTTATCAAATTAAGTAAACTATTGATACTTACAATGGTGAAATCTCCATGACGTTGTGTGGCAAACTTCTCCGATAAAAGTTTGATGACTTTGGGGGTAGATTGTGGAAGACAATGAAAGAAGAAATCTGATATCCCAATCAGTTTACCCACCAGCGCACACTGGTTGTCAACGCTCACCTGTGAGAGAAAGAGTGTGTGAGTGAGTGAGTGAGAGAGAGAGAGAGAGGGGAGGGGGGGAGTAAAGGAGGACTGGCATATGCATCCTCTATATCTCCAGGGCTTGCATTTTGGTAAACATTTCGGTAACCTACATGAATCCCTATCGTAATCAATAAGACTGGATGCCATGTTGTTGCTATTGTCATATTGTTGATATTGGCAGAGTAATTTATTGTCACACAATGTTTGTATTACATTGTTTCTACACAGATTCAGTAGAGCTCATTGCATTGTATTTGAACAATGATTATTTGTCAAGAATGCGGTACTATATAATGTAAGTAGTGGTGAGGAAGTTCTTATAATCAGATGCTCAAGTTATCTGAAAACTTCTGGAATAACATTGATGGACATCAAGCTCAACAGAAACATGGAATATTCTGTAATGTTCTTGTGACACTGGACTGGTCTGGCACTGTGTGGAAAGTGCTGGAAGCTAGTTGAACTATTTATGTGTATACAGACGCATGCCACATTTCATCTGACATTACATCAAGACCAGTTTTTGTATGAAGATGCTTTTCACCCTGGTGTTCACAGCCAAGGCCTATCTTGGAAGCTGTTGCAGCGAGGTGATTCTTTCTCCTGCCATAGTCATTTCCACTGCTCTCACATTTTATACTGCCATTGAATATTGAACTACCACTCTACTGTGAACTGCCATTGTATTTGCTGTGCACTAATTTGCATTTATTCGTAAACCTAGTTAATTTTGTAACACATTGTTGACTGTATACCATTGTTTGTTTGTTGGTTGGTTTCACACTAAATTCTTTTACGCACAGATTTCTGGGTTAACATATTGTTTCAATTTGGGAATCAACGCGTAACAATATCACTAACCCTACATTAAGGTTGGTTTGTAACTCGCATTCTGATTGGTACGTTAAACTCAGCATGGTGTATCTAGATGATGAAGCACTCAACAAATTGCATATACCTGTAGGTGGTAAATCTAACATTGAGGCGAACTGCAACATGTAGGCAGTTGTCTAAAGGTGTGAATCATTGTAAAATCAGCAAACTCAGAAATGTGACGTTTGAATATGTCTCCCTTTAATAATGGCCGATTAGAATACCAGGGTCAAATGATGTCATTTGACTTCTAGATGTAATCCATTGTTGGTGATGTATTTCTAGGCCAGTGTCTCAACGACCTCTGTTGTTCTCTTCACTTTTATAACAATTGCTTGCCATAAGTTCTTGTTTGCTCTTAATTGCAGTATTGAGGGATATTGTCATGACAAAATCTTTCTTTTTTAGCTATGACTGTCAGTAATGGCTTCTGCAAATGAGGTAAGACTCGCTGACTTGGTTGATGCATGTCATCGTATCCCAATTTCGTGGATCAATACTCATGATGTCAATCACTGGATTGTCTGGTCCAGACTCGATTGTTTACAGACCACCATCATATAGCTGGAATATTGCTGAGTGTGGAGTTAAACAAAATCAAACATACTTAACTTTCTATTCTAAAACAATTTAAATTGATGAAGCATATGCATATGCTGTATGTCTTGATGTCTATCAAGGAATAACAACAACATCATCATCATCATCATCATCATCATCACATCTGATGGATATACCGTGTTGGGGTAGAAGTAGATAATGGCATCCTTCAAGTCATCCTCTTCCCGTTTCAGCACATTGTGGTCGTATATGAAGAAACTGCAGATCTCATTTCCTCTGAAATGCAATGATAAAGTATGTGAGTATGGTTTTACGCCGCTTTTAGCAATATTCTAGCAATATCACGGCGGGGGACACCAGAAATGGGCTTCACACATTGTACCCATGTCAGGAATCGAACCCGGGTCTTCAGCGTGACGAGCGAACGCTTTAACCACTAGGCTACCCGACTGCCCCTGCAATGATAAAAGCAAGGATAGATTATATATTTCATGTGTGCCACAGGGCACTCACAAAAAATTTAGATGTGCTCTTTGGAATATAAGTGTGGCAATGAAAATACTTTGGATCCATATTCAAACTTGGTGTATTTTATTTTACTATGACATGTATGAGCTAGAGATCTTGTCCGTCAATGATCATTTTGCCACCCGGTGTTTTACAATTATTTTCCACTGAGCCTCGGTTGCTGAGTGGGTTAGATCACTGAATTAGTGTGCTGGAGATTAGGTGCCTCACCCTGAGAGTGTGGGTTTGAACCCCGGATGGGAATCAACCCCCCAAAAGTACTAGGATTTGTACTTCACTGAGAAAGTGTGATCCCAAATATAAAATTTGGTATATTTTCCTTTAAATACACAATCACGCGACCAAAGTTGGTAATTACGAAAAATTATCATTGACCTAACTAAAAATACCAGTTTTGTAATATTTCATGCATAACAAAAATAATTCTTCATTGTGATCATTTAATTCTGTGACAGATGACATGGCCCTATTGTGGGGGTTAACAGGATTGAGGTTAAGAATGGACGATTTACCATCTCACAACAATGACATAATGTGTGTCAAAGATGCTTGCTTCATACAATCTTCATTTCATGTTACATTCGCCCTTAGCCTAAGGCTTAGGTTTAACTCTATGTATAAGTTCAATGTTCTCGACTTGACTTTATTGCTCGCTAAAAAGGGGTGCAGGCTAAAATGGCACCTCACCTATGTCTCAATAACAGGCCACAGAAAGTCAGGTACACACATATGTACGATGGGTCCATTGGTCACAGTTGTCACATGATATAGCAGCTTGATTTTTTCAGACATTCTTCTCGCATGCAACACATCGAAGGGCCATTGTGAATAATTTTGATCTGACATCACCATGTTAGGCCTCTTAAATACAGTTTTAGCTTGACATTAAGTTAAATTGGATAAAGGTACTTAAAATTTCGAAGCCTATAGGTTTTTCACAATAAGTTACCTGAGCCTCCCAAACAGAGTCGTCCAGTAAATTGGAGTAGAGGCTAATTTCTAATGTAAACTTATTTTAACATTTCACAATTATTGGTGTTTGCAAGTTTTCAATGCAAGTTTAATTTCATTTATTTTACCAAGGTAAAAACATAAGGTGCCGTTTTTGCCAGGCAATAGTAGCCGTTTTCGCTGGAGGCGAAGTGACGTTTTCGCCAATTGGTGCCGTTTTGCCGAGGTGCCGTTTTAGCTATAACCCCTAAAAAGTCATGTTTTAGATGCTATGTGACACTGTCAGTTGCATTTGTTTGTTTTACTTGCAACAAAACAACAGAAATATTAGTTCTGACTAAATGAAATCAATTACAATAAAGCCCTTAATCAACATAAAGCAAAACACAACACATTCTAACATCGTAAGTTTGGACACACCTGTTTAGGTCGGCCATTTTCCCTCGTCACATGATTTATGTCACGTGATGTAAATAATATCCATTTGAAATTTGTATAACCCCTTTTCCGTTTCCGGGAAATTGATTACAAAATCGTAAAGATTATAATTATTTGGAGACAGTAATGATTCTGTTATTTTAATAAATGGTCTGTGGGTAAATGTTTACTACATGCTTGTTTCGGTTTTTTTTATTGAATCTTCTTGTTGTCCATTTAGGTTAATGTTTCGTATTTAACAAAAGGTTAAGGTTTTATTTATGCCAAATGGAATATAGATAAATCACATTTACATGTACATAGATTTATATATTCATAATGTCATATTTATATCATATCTATAATCTCTAATTTACATCATACGAAAAAGCAGTGGATGCATTGCAGCTTTGCCTAAAATATCAACATGGCCGAAGCTGCACCATGCGGTAATTCTGGTAAATGCGAAGAAAAGGATGTCTCGAGTTCTGATCAGGTCTTATATGACAGGACGTCTTCGCAGAAGAGTGCAGAGTCTCAAAAACCAATCTGCGTAATTGTCCTTGGCATGGCAGGCTCAGGGAAGAGCACATTTGTCCAGGTAAAAACATGCTGCTATGAAGTTGAATAAACAGGTTCGCTACTGCCCCATCACCAATGCATCGGTAGAAGTCGGCCCAACGGGACAGGCTTAGATCTAGCTCCTGGATGCCACGGGGACATATATATACCTCCTCTTCAACCATCACTCTGAAGTTAAATAGAATTCAAAGTACATTGCGCACATACGTGCACAAAGTTTGCGTGAGGAATTCTATGTTTTGTTCATCCGTAGTCATTTTAGGCATTTAAACTAATATCTGATAACTATGGGATTAGTGCAGTTTACTGGGCAGACTTTTTCGGATTATAATTTGTGCCGCTTGCAGGATCGAACTCGCATTGCCAGCTTGAAGTTAACTTAACTGTTAAGTTAGGATAATGAGTTTATCTAATTAACCAACCCTTTAATATTGGACCATGAGCGTGCTCATTTACCATGTTTACCAAGTGATCTTCACCTGATCGTTTACCTCAGCTAGATGACTATCTAGCAACTAACCCTAAGGATTTTAAAGGTTGGTTGGTTTGGTTGGTTTGATGTTTTACGCTGCACTCAGCAATATTCCAGCTATATGATGGCGGTCTGTAAATAATCGAGTCTGGACCAGACAATCCACTGATTAATATCATGAACATCGATCCACGCAATTGGGATCGATGACATGCATCAACCCAGTCAGTGAGCCTGACCTCCCGATTCCGTTAGTCGCCTTTTACGGCAAGCATGGGTTGCTGAAGACCTTTTCTACCCCGAATAAAGGAGTGCCTAACCCTAGGTATTATAAAGGGGTGTTTGACTGGCAAGTAGTGCCTCACCCAAAGGATCGTAAAGGGGTGATCAGAAAAAAATGCCTGAGCCAAATGATCGTATAGGGATGCTTCATCTGAAAGTGGATCCCAAGGCTGAGGATAGAGTTGGGGATAACCTACCCTAACCCTAACACAATCAACCCTAAGAATCAAAGAGGCATGTGGGATCTGTGAGATCTGTGAAGTGAGAGCCACAACCAGGAGCCTCAGCCAACTAGCGCTCTAAATAAGCTGCGCCCAGTGAACTGCACAAACTGTTACACAATTAAATTTTCGAGTCAACTGACAAGTATCATAAGAGTCTTCATCACAGCGTTTCAAATATAAAAAATGTGTCATGAGAGTCCTCATTATTATCTCTTTCAGAGATTAACTGCACATCTCCATGCGAAGGAGACACCTCCTTACACTATCAACCTTGACCCTGCTATCAGAGAAGTGTGCTTCCCAGCCAACATAGGTAGGTAACCATGGTAACAGGTTATAAGAATCCTGATAGTCGTGATATCTGATATTTATTTGAAACTTCTGTTGATAAGTAAAACTATTTTTAAATAATAAAGTATTTTGTATGTATTTTCTGACTTGTGCGAAAGCTATTTTTGATACTCATCGCTTGATCATGATTCAGTGTGATATGTCTCAAAGAAATAGTTATTCATTCATTAATGATCCAGTTCGATTTTAAAAAAATATTTTAACATGTTTTTGCAGATATCCGAGACACAGTGAACTACAAGGAGGTGATGAAACAGTATCCTTGGCCATGTTATGTATGAGTGGTGTCACCCCTGTGTGTCTTGATATTTACAATCTGACACATGCTAACTTGTTAATGTAAGCTTAAACCATCTTGACAAAGTTCAAGCAACATATTCCTTCGTCAGATAGGAAGACTAGTGACCAAACAAAGTTTGGTATGCTCAGGAACATTGTTGCACTGAAGACATGGTAAAGGGGGAGGAGGTACGACAATGGCTTACTGGAAATGTCATATTTTAAAGTAGCAGAAACTTTAAAATATTGACGTGAAAATGATCAGACATGTTCTAATGGCTGACTGCTAGTCTTTTTTCTTTCTTACAATTTTGACTTTGAACCATAGTGAAATACACAAATATGGCTAAAATGCTTCCTGAAAACCTGTGGAATCAGGCTTTTAGCGTGTTTAGTCACAGGTTATAATTATGTGCATTTAGTGAAATGCAATTGTTGAAATGAAGAAAGTCTAGTTCTTACTCATATGAGCACATCTGATAAATTTCATAACAATTAATAAAGGATTTGCTCAAGTCTTAGATTATGCAGATGCTGTGGGCCTAAAAGGGCAAAAACATTGACATGGAGAGTGTTGAACATATATGTCTATCTACTGTGATCCATATCTACATGCTTTCACTCAAGTATGGCTGAAATGGATGAAAGACTTATTTATTTAATTCCAGAGAAAATCTATATATGACCTAGTAGAAGACCCATTGAAGCTGAAATTTTAAACTAGATTTATCTTTACCAATATCTTCTTTGAAAATTTAAATTATGTAGATTCTGTGGGTCAACTGAACATGAGCCTTTACCATACTTCAGCCTTAAGTGAACTTGAGTCAGCTTAATACATTGTATTAACATGAGAGCTAAAAAGAGCTCGAGATACTTGTTTCAGATACAGATCCTTTTTTTCTGGTTGGTAAGAGTTATTTCCCTTAACACGTTCTCATATACTCTCTTGGTCCAAATGGTGGCATTGTGACGTCACTGAATCTGTTCGCAACAAGATTTGATCAGGTTTGTGTGGTATAAGCAGTAGAGCACTAAAGAAAGAGGTCATTTTGTTCTGTTGTAAAAACATTTTACATGCTCTGGATGGAATCTCTCATAAGAAACATGGTGATCAACTTGTCAGGCACTAGTACTGTTGTCCTTGCCAAACTGACCAAAAGTTAAGGTATCCTAAGGACTAGTAGAAATTGGCCATTTTTAAGGGTCTTGCTATATGTTATCATTATAAGGACTAGTGGACTAAAGATGTTAGTTTCTACCACTGCTTCTGACGACGATGATAATGATGATCAATGTTTAGGAACCTGATTGTTTGTCTGTCATGTTCTCTCATTGTTTTTTTTGATAAAAACATTTTTGAACTGGTTGATTTTCATTTCCACGACTTAGCTTTCATATGTTCACATGGTCATTGACCTTGTTAAATATGTTGATTCTTTTAGGTAATGGGGTTTATTGAGAAGAGGTCTACGGAATGTCGGTAAGCATCATCGCTATGAGATGTATGAAGTTTTAATTCTTCTAAGCCATGGTAAACAAGAGAGACGTAGAGTCCATGTGTATATCAGATGATACTGAATTTGTTTGTTACCCCTGAGGATCCTGGGATAGAACAAGTCCCCAGCAACATATGCTTGTTGTTAGAGGCGGCCAGATGGATCGGGTGGTCAGTCTCAGGGACCTGGTTCATTGCGGGGCATTGCACCCCGGTAGTGCGGATAGTTGCCCACAATATCGATAACTGGATTGTCTGGTCCAGATTTGATTATTTAAAGATCGCCTTTATCTTGCTTGGACGATGCTGTTTGCATTTTGGAGCCTGCATATACCGCATCCCGTGAAGATTCGGGTCAGAATAGGTCTTCAGCAACCCATGCTTTGCCGTAAAAGGCGACTATGCTTTTCGTTTGAGGTGAATAATGCGATTGACTTGTTTGATGCATATCATCGTGCCCCAATTGCGTAGATTGTACTCATGATGATGCAAATTACTGGATTGTTTGGTCCAGGCTCGATTATTTACAGACTGTCGTAATATAGCTAGAATATTGCTGAGTGTGGCTTTAAACAACAAACAAACAAACAAAGTATATACAACAGGATACACAGCTCAGTGTGTTCACTACTATCTACACAGTTGACGTTTACGTTAAATACCAAATCTGAAAACTCAAATAAGGTTTTTTGACTGTGGTGTAACAATAGATGCTAATGAAGGATGCTGGGGAGTAATCAGTGTCTTTATCTTCACATGACTGGAAGCATTAAGGCGTTCGTGATGGATTAGGGATGCCTAATCTCAACATCCATAGGGGATGGCAAACTAACTTGATGTAGAGTAATTAATCCGTGTTTACATCTCCACCTCGCCCATGAAGATCGGGGGTAGAATAGGTCTTCAGCAAACCATGCTTGCCGTAAAAGGCGACTATGCTTGTCATACGAGGCGACTAACGGGATCGGGTGGTCAGGCTGGCAGACTTGGTTGATGCATATCATCGATCCCATTTGCGTGGATCGATGCTCATGTTGTCAATCACTGGATTGTCTTGTCCAGACTTGATTATTTACAGACCGCTGTCATATAGCTGTAATATTGCTGAGTGCGGCGTTACACAAACAAACAAACAAAACATCTCCACTTGGTGCGAGACATCGTGTACAGGATGTGGCTGTGTGTGTTTCAGGCATGTGATCATCGACACACCGGGGCAGATAGAGGTGTTCACCTGGTCCGCCTCGGGAAGCATCATCACGGAGGCCCTGGTGAGTCAGTTACCCAGGGGCTGGTCCGGCTCCTTGTATATAGGTCACACAGAATTAGTGTTAAGATTCTTCACCTTTCTTCCCAGGGTTGTGGGTAGCCTTGGGGTTTAAGCGTTCTCTTGTCATGCTGAAGCCTCTGGGTTCGTTTCCCCACATGGGTACAATGTGTGTTGCTCATTTTTGGTGTCTCCTGTCGTGATTTTGATGGAATAACGCTAAAAGCAGCGTAAACCCTTACTCACTCACTCACCTGTGTTTTAGCACTCTTGAATGTACAGGAAAGAAAGTGAGTTAGTGAGTGTGGTTTCACGCCACTTTTAGCAACATTCCAGTGATATGACGGCGGGGGACACCAGAATTGGACTTCACATATTGTACCCATGTGGGGAAACGAACCCAGCTTTTGGCAGGAAGGTAAAGTTTTCAAAAAGTTCTCAGCTTGCCTGAATCAGTTAACATGGTGGAACAGCTTTCATTTCAGATGAAAAAAACACTAAAATAAAAACTCAATTGACACACCTTTCTACACTTCCAAAGAGATGCTGATGACTCATGCTAAAGCTGATGCCTGAGCAGATGTTGTTACTTCCTGTATCCGTATGTGAGCAGTGTTCCCGTTTACCGGTATTTACCAGTTTTTTACCAGTAAACTGAGGCTTGGCCCGGTAATTCATGTGACTGCCAGTCCCTGTGGACCGGCAAATAAAGTATCTTATTGATCTGTGATATTCATATAAGTATATTTTTCGAACAAAGTCAGCTTGTCTGTTACCATCAGTTTCCCCTCATCGATTTTTAGTGCAAGGAAATGAAATTTTGCATTGCTTCATGGTTAAAAATATTTGTAGTGACTTCATCTTGAAATATCAAAAAAAAGATTAGATAATTGTGACTGAACTTTGTGTGAATAATGTGTAGATCTAACTAAGCTACTTCAGAGATGACATCATTGCATTGAACATGATGTTGAAAGAATTATAACCAGGTAATTTTCATACGTTTTTTTATTTGTTGAAAGTTGGGACTGACAAATATTAGGGGGACTGGTTATTTTTAGAGTTACCAGTCCAACAGAACTGGCAGTTTCAAGAGCCAGCGGGAACACTGATGTGAGTGAGTGAGTGAGTGAGTGAGTATGGTTTTAGCCACTTTGAGCAATATTCCCGCAATATCATGGAGGGGGACACCAGCAATGGCCTTCACACATTGTACCCATGTCGGGAATCGAACCCAGGTCTTCGGCATGACCAGAGAACACTTTAACCACTAGGCTAACCCCCCAACCATATCCCATGTACTCACTGACTGTTGTGACCCTATCCAGGCATCGACGTTCCCGACGGTTGTGGTGTACGTGATGGACACCTCGCGCAGCGTGTCCCCCGTCACCTTCATGTCCAACATGCTATATGCCTGCAGCATCCTCTACAAGACCAAGCTGCCCTTCCTCATCGCCATGAACAAGGTACACTTCGGTTGCGATTACTTTATGGAGGGTTGGTTACGGATCCGCCAATACAAAAAATAGCAAAATGAAATAAAATTAAAATGACTTTTTCTAATATTTTGTTCATTCTGCCGACTCTGATTGTATAAGAATAAATAAAAAATAAGTTTACTTGAAATATCCCAGAAATTTGTTTTATTATGTTTATTAGTTTTCACCCCAAAGTTTGAAGCGATGTAGACCTATTAGAGTTACGGCCCTTCAATATGACATATCCGGTTGCGCAGTCGTTTAGTTCTGGGGCTCCATTTATGATATGATTACCTGCCATACTGAAAACAAGACTTAAGAAGCACACAATTGAAATAAAGTGACCACTGACATGTTCACTGACTTGAAGACCTTTTTGTTTTCTTTGTTTTTGACCACTGACGTAAGAACAAACCAAAATTCCCTTAACCAACTACAAAACAGTTAATCGCCCTATCAAATGACCCACAAATCTCAAAACATCTAATGTTATCTGTATGTACATTTCTAGAATGTTGGGAGTAGCAGTGGAAACATCAGGTGTCGATTTAAACGCTGGCCAGTTAAAATTGCAAAGGGCTTGCTGAAACATGAAGTATTTAATCTCACAGTGCTTGAAAAAACGTTTTAGGGCTGAAGAGTTTTAAGATTTTCAGAGCGCTGCTAGGTGGCTATGTGACCTCAGGTTCGGCCACTTCGCAGCCTCAAACCATTTTGTTGTAGGCCAGTTATTAGATCTACCCCAGCTACACACAGTACAGAGTCCCCTCAGTTTGTTTCCATGTTTGCAGCTGGAACAACAGTTTGACCACTTAAACATATACAAATTCTTCTCCAGATTGACATTGTCAGTAACAGCTTCGCAGTGGAGTGGATGCAGGACTTCGAAGCCTTCCACGACGCCCTGGAGCACGAGACTTCCTATATCTCCAACCTCACACGGTCCATGAGTCTTGTGCTGGACGAGTTCTACAGCAATCTCAAGGTGAAGGTCAAGTGCAGTGGCCTTGTAGATAGTTCCATTATGGACAATTATTTCTACTCTATATTACTCTGTTGTTAGTCCTTAATACTGTTTATTATAGAACATAATACATAAATATATTGATTTGTGCTTGAATTGAAAGTTGCTCATGTACATACCTGTAGTTGTTTCCATAAGAATAAGACCCATGAAGATTCGGGGTAGAATAGGTCTTTAGCAACCCATGCTTGCTGTGAAGATCCGGGGTAGAATAGGTCTTCAGCAACCCATGCTTGCTGTAAAAGGCGACTATACTTGTAAGAGGCGACTAATGGAATCGGGTAGTCAGGCTCACTGATTTGGTTGATGATGCATGTCAAAGTATCCCAATTGCGTGGATCAATGCCCATGATGTCAATCACTGGATTGTATGATCCAGACTTGATTATTTACTGACCGCCATCATATAGCTAGAATATTGCTGATTGCGGAGTTAAACAACAAACAAAACAAAAACCTTAAGAATGATCAGGCTCTTGGTTATCTTTCTTCTTCATCAGGAGTTAAAGAACATTGTTCAGATGATTCCAAAGTACATTATCTTTGAGATAACCTTGACACACTGTTTGTCTTTGTCAATATGGAATCTGGTTGAGTAATCTGGAAAGTAATTTGTATTGTGACCTCCCTAACATGTTCAAGGGATGATAGGATTATTAGAGGGGAGGGGAAGCATTGGGACTGGGGAAGGGGTGGGCTGGCTGTCTAAGGCACCACAATTCGGCTTGCGGAGTTGCATCCCTTCAGCATGCTAGAAACCTATGATTGTGGTACAGAACCCGGTTCGCCGGAATCTGTTTCTAGGTTTGTCAGCACAATACCGTGCTCGTGGGTTGCTAGTTTGTTTGATGTTGAATCTGGGATTTTCCTCACTATTTTGTTGTCCACGTCAACATTCTTTTTTTAATATTAGTTTCTTCTCAGTGCTATGTAGCTGAAATACTGCCCACACAACATGAAACTTTTACTCACTCTGTCGATTACTTCACATTTATCTCCTGTCATGATATAGCTGTAATATTGTTGACTACATGTATGTGGATATAATGGCAGTGTTGTCTTCTGTTTGTGGGTCCAGACTGTTGGTGTGTCTGCAGTCACGGGGGAGGGGTTGGACCAGTTCCTTGACAGAGTTGCAGAGGGTGCCGTCGAGTTTGAAAAGTAGGTCACTTTCGTAATATGAAACTGAAACTTGTTTCAAATGTAGCTAAATACCAATCGAGTACAAATTACTCAATAAAATGAGGGCGGTCGGGTAGCCTAGTGGTTAAAGCGTTTGCTCGTCACGCCGAAGACCCGGGTTCGATTCCCGACTCGGGTACAATGTGTGAAGCCCATTTCTGGTGTCCCCCGCCGTGATATTGCTGGAATATTGCTGGAATATTGCTAAAAGCGGTGTAAAACCATACTCACTCACTCACTCAGTAAAATGAAACTATTTTACTTGTAGTGAAGATTATTTTAAGATATAATGGTTTTGAAATTATTTCTTTAATTTTAAAGTTTTCACATATTTTAGTGAAATTTGATAGCTATTGATTGATGTTATAATGGGTCTCAAATGACCTTAACCTGAATACACAATGCCATTGACCTTGACCTCTTGAATTAGAGAAGGTTGTAAACTGTGATGCTGCCCGTTTCAGAGAGTACCGTCCCCAGTATGAGAAGATGAAGAAAGAGAAGGAGGAAAAGGAGGAGAGAGAGAAGAAGAAACAGAAGGAGAGACTGAAGAAGGACATGGCGGAAGATACAGGTAGTCACCGGAGCGACACTCAAAGTTTGGGTGAATGGGTTGCCCAGTTGTGACCCTGTGACCCTGTCAGCTCTTTGAAAGAGAGTGATGTGGCAGGAGTATTCACGTGATCAGGGACCACTTGCGCAAAGCGATCTAAGTGCTAAGATGATTGAAACTCACATAATTTAACATCGGCTTACAATGGTCATAGCACTTGGATCCCTTTGTGCAAGTGGGCCCTGGATTATTGTACATGACCCATTTGTTTGGGAGGTGACCATGGTGATGCTGGGGTGTGTTCGGGTGAATTGATTTTTAGAAATGGAAACTTTGTTCAAGCACGTTTCCACATAGGATCAAAAGAAGAAGGAAGAAATATATCATGTGAGATAGGATAAGTATATCAATATACATTTTATGGTTCAATTTACAAATTGTTGTTTTCAGATGAGACACTGCCAAAGAAGCTGAGTGGTCAAATGGTGATTACCCCCGGCAACGAGGAAGAGGACAGTGATGAGGAATACATCGGGATGGACGAGGAACCGGAGATAGGTACGAGTGTACAACTCAGGACATGAAAATCTGACGTTATTCTTTAATTGATTAATATTTTATCAAACCCGCAGCATCAAAAAGAGATCCTTATAGGGTTTCGAGAATGGAATACATCTCCACTGCCTTCACAACCTGGTAAGATGAGATGGCAGTGTGATAGTTAACCTTACAGTGCCTCACAGGCTGAGAATTATAATGGAAAGCATGCTGATCCATTGACTTGGTAACAATGCACTGCCTGCATCATCATAAAGTCTGCAGCACGTTTCGTTTTTATTTCCATTTTCAGAAAAAGAAAGTAATCCTAATACTTAGAAACAATGTGATCCAATACAGCACACAGTTACTTCCCTTCACATACTGCACATCTTGTGTTATGGTCATGGCGGCAATAGGAGTTTGTATGTTTGTTTATGTGGGGAGGCCCTATCCCAGGTTGATGGTACACAACTGTTTATTTGGTTACATACTAGTTTTGAACCATCTTCCCAAGGCAAGGGAGGTAACTGACTATAAAAGTCCAGTTTCCACCCTTGCCGAACTAGGCTGGAATTCCTGGGCTCGACCGTAGCGCCACCAGTGGTTATTACTTATTATGTCCCTTCTAAGCCTCTCCTATGGACCAATCAGATTCCACCTCTCGTTTCACTTGCATTTGTTTCAAACAAAATGGTGCCGCCCAGTCAAAACGATCTGATTGATAATCAAGATCTACATTGTGATAAAACGGGTCCTACATAGTGAAGTGCATCAAATCACGTGAGCACCTTGATTAAAAACATGAAAAGACTTGGAAAATATCTGTTGACAACGAGTTGGCGGTGCACATGCTTTGCAAATCCTGCATTCGACAGAAATCTGCACGACATTTTACAAACCGGATTTCGATTTCGGTGCCCGATTTTGATTGGACTATGCATAGACTCGTTAGTCCAGCCAAAATGTAACTCCATAATACCAGCCTAGTTCGGCAAGGGTGGAAACTGGACTTTTATAGTCAGTTACCTCACTTGCCTCGGGAAGATGGTATTGAACACGCAAACAAAACCAAAAACCACAGTCTGCCTGCACTATGTTTTCAAAAGTCATTGCCTGAGAACCAATTCATTTATTTTTGTGAGCCTTACTATAACATTGATTGATTAATGAGTATAATAAGACGAGTGTACATTTGGATCATGCTGTCTCACTGTCCTTCAGTCTGCGACCCGTGAAGATTCCCCGGTAGAATGTCTTCAGCAACTCATGCTTGCCGTAAAATGTGACTATGCTTGTCGTAAAAGGCGACTTACTGGATCGGGTGGTCAGGCTCGCTGACTTGGTTGATACATGTCATCGATCCCAATTGCGTGGATCAATGCTCATGATATCAATCACTGTATTGTCTGGTCCAGACTCAATTATTTACAGACCACCGTCATATAGCTGGAATATTGCTGAGTGCGGCGTTAAACAACCAACCAACCAACCAACCAATCCTTCAGGCTGCAGGAATTAAACAATAAGCAAAACAGGAAAGCTCAACAGTGATATTCTGCTATCTCCGCAACAAAAACAAGGGTGGGACATTGCATCAGGACTTCAAACTTTATCTGTTAAGAAATGTTTTATGCCTAATACATGTTTATTCTCAACTTTGTTATTGAAAACAAATTATAGAATGAGCTAAATGTGTGTGGGAGGGATGTGATGGAATCCTACATCCACCACTGTATTTTATCTCGTACAGACCCTGAAACAAAATGGTGGGCTCTTAACTATTATGTATTTTGAAACAATTTAAAAAATCTTTCAATATTTTTGTTTCAGAGACCAGATGTTAGTCTAAAATGTGTCAATTATAAATACCGTAATTGACAAAATAAGTGCCTGGGGCTCTCTCAAAATTAGAAATAGGGGGCTCTTATTAGAATATAATTTTGGTGAGAAAGAGTTGAAAGATTTTAAATTTTGTAGTTTATGCTGACAGCCTGAAATGATACAAAAGAATAGTATCATACAAGACAGATATATTTTCCAGAATTTAATTGCCCATAATTAAGGGTGCATATAACACATGAGTGCGTATTATACACAAATATATGTCTTGTGTACATTGATCAATCGGAAGGGGTGCTAATTTGGATTGTTCACTAGCCAATATATTAGCAAATATCATCATGGGCCCTTATTAGAGCGGAGTGCTTATTACGTGGAATAAGGTATATATGATGGTCTTACATATGTATGTGTATGTTTGTCTGCAGATGAGGAGGAGATTCGGGAGCGTGAGTCATTCCAGCGCTTCCTGGCCAGTTACAAGCAGCGCGAATCCGACAAACAGAAGAAGGCCAGCCAGGAGGACACTGCCAACACGTGACGCAGCAGGGATGTAGTGTGAGGAGGACAAGATAATCAATAAGATTCAGATGCTGGTTGAGACAGCAGCCCCCTGTGAATGTATCATGTGTTGTGGGACACAAGTGGGCCAGTTATCCGAGGGGCTGCTATTCGCTGTGCAGAATTGCACTCCATAGGCATTCAAGGAACACAGATTTGAATCCAAGATTATCCTTGATTAGATTCTTTGAATGAACCTGCCTATCCTTGAGGGTTTCACCAAAGTGGTTAATACCTGCATCACTTCAGGCTGTCCTCTAACATTTAGCTGTGATGCTCTGATATAACTGGAACTTACCACATACGGTATACTGATTCCGGGCTGACCAGTCATTGTTTTATACGAATACAGCCGAGTGCCAGGCAGGGTAACATCATTTCCACCTTTCAACATCTTTTGGTATGACGCTGCCGGGGATCAAACCCCTGACCTTCCACTCTCCTCCGGGCAGATGCTCTACCACTGGACCACGGAGCAGGTCCCAACAGTGTGTGAAGCAAACAGTTGAACTGGGATATGAGGTCTCATCTCGGGCCTTTCCTTTCATTGCATCAGATATATTTCTTTACTCATGGCAGCCTATCATTTCATCAGATTTGTATGTCGATGTTATTCCGTATTTGCTGTAATAAGAGTTCTGGAAGTTAGAAAATTGACAAAGGTAGGGGTCTTATTAAAACCATTTTCAACATGTTTGTTGACATTTAACTTGTATATTTCTAGTGTACCATGCCATCGCTAATGTCTACTTTGGATAACTCAATTTCTGCATGTATTATGTACACACTTCCACACAGCAGTGTTTTCTGTCAAGGATTGTCTATATTTTTTCGGTTCATTGAGGTATGAATCGAATAACCCATGTGCAAATTGTATGAATCTGTGTAGCGGATTCTTACAAATGTTTGCACATCGGTTTTTAGACAATGAAAACATGTTTTATCTACATTAGTTTAACAAAAATAAAGTTGTATATAACAAAGCAGACAAAAATGATTGATAAACATCCCGTGTTTAGGAATACATACTGTGGCGTGACATGAATCAGGTGATTGTTTAATTTATGCACATAACTTGACACGCCTACAAAGTCAGTAGCCTATCAGCGGAGAGTAAGATCAAAACAATGTTCATAGGACCTGTCAATCAAGACAAGAGGCGAGAAGCAGTGTAACACTCAGACTGTCACGAGCCGGAACAAATATGTCCGGGAGAAGGCGGCTGTTTCAAATAACATGATTAGCTACCGCCAGATTCAAACATTAGTTCCCTGAGAACGGTAATACACAGTTGGAAACATGCTAGATCTAGTTCGAAAAGAAACCCAAAGACATGAAAGTTGTGGCTCGCTGACTTGGTTGATGCATATCATTGTATTCCAATTGTGTGGATCGATGCTCATGATGTCAATCACTGGATTGTCTGATCCAGACTCGATTACTTACAGACCGCCGTCATATAGCTGTAATATTGCCGAGTGGTGTGTTAAACAACAAACAAACAAACAAAAAACTTGACTTGTTTTTTGTGACACCTGTAATTAGTTGTTGTTTCTCACTCTCAGAATCGTTCTGACGTTTCTGGCTTTTAACACTCATGGTTCTATTTGCAGCCAACGAATCAGATTCAGTTAAAATAAATATGAGAAATATGAAAGTCCATGTTACCCGAAACACAAGTATTTTAGATAACACTGATGAAAGAGTGACCACATCCCTGAAGATCTTAGAATAGGTCTTCACCAACCCATGCTTGCCGTAAGAGGCGACTAACGGGTCGGGTGGTCAGGCTCCCTGACTTGGTTGATGCATATCATCGTATTCCAATTGTGTGGATCGATGCTCATGATATCAATCAGTGTATCGATTATATGCAGACAGCCGTCATATAGGTTGAACATTACTGAGTGCGGCGTTAAACAAGGAACAAACAAGCATCCCTGATTTGTCCAGTGCATGATGCACGGGCCATGCTAATTGTACGATGTGTGTATGTGTATGTATGTCAGAAATACTTAGTCTTTGCTGAAATTATAATGGTTAGCATGAGTATGAGTAATGATAGCAATCAAGATTTGATAAAAAAGTAAAAGTGAAATGAAAGGTCAACTCCACGGTAAGCTCTGGAACACTTCATGCTGAGGCCTGCTCTTAGTCAGATGTGGGAGCATGGTTTGCCCAGTCTTTGGGCAATTCTCTGTCTTTCTCACTATATCAGGCAAAATAAACTTTGTTTCTCACGAGATCAACTAGTCCTTCCCGACTTTCTTTTGAACGCACATAGTTACCATGAGAGATTTAATCAATACATGCAAGAATGCAAAAAAATGTATGGCCAGGCACAATGACTTTTCGGTTTCCTTTCAGTGAACAAGCTCTATAATTAATTCGACTAACGGGATCGGGTGGTCAGTGTCGCTGTCATTGATCCCAATTGCGTGGATCGATGCTCATGATATTAATCTCTGGATTGTCTGGTCCAGACTCGATTATTTACAGACCGCCGTCATATAGCTGGAATATTGCTGAGTGCGGCGTAATACACCAACCAACCAACGAATACAGGGTGACTGAGTGTCCATCTAAGGCATCCATCTCGGACGCCCGGTCGCCCTCCACCAATATGCTGATCACTAACGGGTGTAGCCTGGAGATGATGTAGATCATGTTTGTGACCTCATCAGTGTGGGGACCCGTGACGATTCCGGGGTAGAATAGATCTTCAGCAACCCAGGCTTGTCGTAAAAGGCGACTAACGGGATCGGGTGGTCAGGCTCGCTGACTTGGTTGATGCATGTCATCAATCCCAATTGCGTGGATCGATGCTCATGATATTAATCACTGGATTGTCTGGTCCAGACTCGATTATTTACAGACCGCCGTCATATAGCTGGAATATTGCTGAGTGCGGCGTTAAACAACAAACCCACCAACAAACATCAGTGTGGGATATTTGTTCATGATTACTCTTTCATATAAAAACTGGATAGAACAATGTTCCAGTAACAAAACTTCATTGAGAATCTCCAAGACATGCTGCAGCATCGTGGGTGGATTGGTGTGAGAAGGAGGCTACATGACCCGCCACTGTACAGTAGGCGCCAGTACAATTGCTGATCTCCTTGCCAATGTCTGTACGATTGATAGATGACAGCTCCTCCTATACTATTCCACACAGACCACGAATCCCACGAAACGTCACGATTTGTAAATTTTAGGATTCGTGAGGATTCCTCGAATTTAGTAAATATTCTGGTTCAATTCGTGACGCTCTACGATCTAATTACGATACAGGGCCCCGATCCACAAAGCCTTCGTAGCGCTACGAACATCGTAGAAACGATATGTGTAAGTTACGAAGGCTTTGTGGATCGGGGCCAAGGTCTCTAATACACGCCGAGTCAAGGGCTCTCGCGAAATTATTGACGGCGTAGTGTCAAATAGAGGAAATACGGTAGATCTAGTTTGATGTCGGATGTTTGGGGCGTTCTAGGCCGCAACCCAGACTGCTTCGATGATAACATTAAAAGATTTAACGAAGGCATATCTTTTGCATACAAATGAATTTTTTATGGTGGTGACCAGAATCGGAACAATTTAAGCTATTTCCTCATTGAAACAACCGACAATGAAAGTAAAATATAACATTATAAAAATTGTTTGAAAAAACAACATCACACGAGCAGGGATAGTTAGTCAACATGCTAATGTTGAACAGCATCACACGCACAGTACTGGGTTGTCTTCTGGTTTAATGCAATTCTTTAACAGCACTGTTACTGTTAACAATTTCTTTGGCAGCCATAACTGAGAGTGCAGTGCAGATATAATGACAACCGGGACACGTTAGGACGGTTCTCAATTCAGGGTGGGGAGGTATAATTCAAAGATTCACACATTCAAAATAAGTGATATCTAATACATTTTGTTGAGAAAATAATAGATCTAATTGTTCATCTTTGGGTAACTTTTTCTGAACCCACGAACATGTAATTTCATTATTGAAACAACCGACAATGAAAGTGAAACATAACATAATAAAATGTGTTTGAAGACATTTTATTAATGACAACATGGTGTTTACAAACCTTTTTCTGATCGATATCCATTGCCATCTCCGTCAACCACCACCGTTAGAATTTGGCAGGAGGGGATTTGAAAGTGCATCAGAAAACACTCCCCTTCGAAAGTCCACGAAAACAATGTCCCAGATGAAGTGACAGCTTATCAAATTTGATGAAATTCATTTCAGAACACGCACACTTATGAAAAGTATACACGACCTACTATTTCTGGACCAGAAATGTCTAAGTTCTGTCACTATTTGGCTTTGGATCCGTGAAATCTTGAAATTGACAGGTCACGCCATGCAGATTCCTCATTTAAAAATATCCGGCCCGTCTGCAGCCTAAACAGCGTCTGTTCAGTCATACTCAGTTCAATTAGTAATCATATGGATGTACCCGCAGGCTCGATCAATCCCAGTAATTCTGCTTCTTTTAACTAGATCTAGTTAATGTACAGCCAAGTTCGGGGTGGAGAGGCATTTACTTTGATGATATTATTGTTTACTGGGGGTAATTGCTATCTAACTAATAACTCTTAGACATGTTAAATGTTTATTAGAATGTTAATTGATAACGTTTGCTGTAGAAATATATTCGTTTAGCATTTTAAAACCTTTTTCTATTACCCGTCACCCCTACAATAGAAATGATGGCATGTTCGATTTCCAAGAAATGACCTCTCGCACAAATTTCCGAGAAACGACCGCCAGTCCACAATGTACAACAGTGTGCAACAGTTTGATTGAAATTAAAACATCTCTCTTTGGATTAAGTTAGTCCTGAGTGTTATTTGTCAACTTCTTTTGAAAATCTATGTGTTTTGAACACTTATTATGAACTACTCACGACTATAGTGTTTTTTAATCTTGAACTTTAGTAATAATTGTTACTTATATAACTACCTGTGACCACTTTTCGGAATGTTCTAAAATTGCGGACCTGTGCACCTGTGTTATTACGCGTTGCAAAAGAGCGCCGTTTTCATAGCGTTGTTGCCGTCGTGGTAGAATGGAGATAAACCTACTGTGTTTTGAAATTTGATTTAGCGCTTGACCGAGCGCTTTAGCGCGAGGTTCCAAATTATAGGTAGGTATCTATTCTACAGTGGGACTACATCAAATTTAAAAACACAATAGGTTTATCTCCTAAATGCACACACATATATAAAGTAAAAATAATGACTCTGTGAACCTGCTTACCTTGAACAGAGAAGGAACCTGTGAGCACAGTGTTTAGAAGTGACGTTAACGCGGCGATAAACACGAAAAAAAACAAGCCAAAGATGGAAAGAAATATAATCATCAATACTCTGAGTATATGACTACTGCCTGAACATAATCGTCTTGGTAGCATCAACCAAGTCAGCGAGCCTGACCACCCGATCCCGTGAGTCGCCTCTTACCACAAGCATAGGTGCAGAAGACGTATTCTAACCCGGATCTACACGGGTCGGTATGTCATGTAAGTGAGTGGGTGACTTTTCACGCCGCATTATACAGTTTTTCAGTTATACAAACGGCGTGTCTGATCAGAATGGGAGGAAATCCAGAAGTGATGCAGGTCTGAGACTATTACATTTTGTAAAAGCCCACAATCACAGTGTGGTATTTACAAATAAAGGATATAATACTTGGGCCTATTTGGGATTCATTTTGTCAGAATGTGAATTGTGAATATAAATAGGCGCGTGTTTATTAAATTATATGTATGTAACCATGCTGATTATGTTTCGTTTTTACACACAAATATGAATGTAATCAGTTCCGCGTATACGGACAGCCAATGGCGGCAAATGTAGGAAGTCGGCACTTCTAGTATAATAAAAGGATGAAGGTGACCCATTCGTCTAATGTACCGAAGGGTTCATTCGTGCGAAGGGTTGTAGCCTTCCCCCCCCCAACCCCAACCCCAACCCCCTTACCCCCACCAGACCCCTTTCCGCCTAGGATCTAGGATCTAAGGTCGAATTAAGGGGGTGTCGTTTGAATCTACTACATCGGCTTCATGCACGAGCTTAATTTTACGCCGGTTAAAAAACGAATGACACTTTTTGATAAAAATAATATTATTCCTTGAACAGAAGTCAGTGTAGATTTAATGGCCACTGACTGACAAGCATGGGGGACCACTTACATCCGATCGTCTTTAGGCACTTTCTCAAATATTTTTCACAAAAGACTTTTGATACAGAGAACTGACTCTTGTATTATGTTGAATAAATATTTTCTTCAATCTTCATAGGCACCGTCATGTCACGTTTAAACCTAAAAGAGACTAACTCCCAATATCGCTAATGATTGTCATTGATGTTGCGTGATAATTTGCGGGTCTTCGTGTGAACGAGTTGACTAGTTTCCTTTCCGCCAGGCTCCGTCTCTACATGTTACAAAGTTGACGCAGCGCACAGAGAGTCGGCAACCAGCAGTACATTTTATTTAAATGTAAGTTTTATTTTGCGATTATGATTTATATAATGTTCTACTGGACATAGAGACATATTTCCATTAGTGAATACAAAAAACTTTTGGTTAAAATCTATTTCCGGTGTTGCTACGGTAACAGTTCAAAACAAGTTCAAGACCCGGCTCCTACGATTCTTCGTTGACAGAAGCGTATCGTTGCTATCTCAGTTGTTATTTTAACAGATTTCAGAGACCTGTTTGAGTTCAAACGTCTTCATTATTTCTGCAGACAGGTTTGTAGATGTTATTTTGTATGAATTCCTTTCCGAAATGTCTCCGGGTTTGTCTTTGTTGGCATAGTAAACAAAACAGGCCTTCTTTGACAACCAGCAAATATTCAACATTTTGAAGCCCATTTTGCTGACGTTTTCCTTTAGATTAGTGTTGTATTATCTATTCCTTCATTTACCAGCTTGTTTGCCTATCATATTTAGACGCACGTTTTAAGTATTTCGGTAATTCTGAAGCAACCACGGTTGTTTCGACCCCCAAATTGACCACAATTCTGATCATGTTTATGAACGGCCCCACACAAAAACATCATCGATACAGCTAAACCACAGTCTGTGACTTTAGCCACCAGTCCGTAGCCCAAGTCTAGTAAACTTTTCTTTCAGTCTAGTAAGCTTTGCTAATAAAGGTCCATACATGAACACTAAGATCTACTGAAAATGATGGGGTGTTGCCTAAACCGTCATCGGTTTCTGTGGGCTAAAACGCTAAAGCTTTGTTTCGCAAAAAAGGCTAGGGAAGATCCATTAAACTGACAGGTTTTGGCAAGCAGCAAGTTACTGCCACAGGCTGTCATACGCACTGTGATATTTTCCAGTCCCGTAATAGTTATGTGCTTTGGAAAATTGAGAATGATGTCTATTAGACCTTCTAAAGGTCTAATGATATTTTTAGTAAAATCTGGTTGGAATCCTTACTGCACTTCAAGTCCAGTATTCTTCCGTTTGGTCTAGGGATTTACCTAGACCTGCCCAGAGGCCGATATTTGACCCAAATCTCTGTGGTCTGCTAAGGTCAGCTAATAGTTCTCCATATCATAACAGAAATACCCACTGAAATGATGCCAATAGACAATTGCAGGCCAGTAAACTGGAAATATATAAGGTGTATCAACATTGGGCTGATCAAGTTTTGCACAGAAATATATTGTGCTTTACTAGGAAACTGACTTGTCAGTCAAAAAGTCCGATTTCAAACTACTTTCATTATTTAATGATAATACATGTGATATAGAAGAATGTCCTTTCAAAGGTTGATAAAATCATGAAAATTTACTGATGTCATTTAATTGATATCTCAAATCAAAAGTCAGTAACTATGTCCAACGACTATGAATGTACATTACCAGTGACTACACATTTTTATGTACTTTTATGTTCTATTGAAGTTCTTTCTTTCTTCCTCATTATTATTATTCTCATTATTCTCTTTCTTGTAAACAGATATTTTTTATGGACTTGTTAAAATAAAGATGAATTATCACAATATTATTAATTTCTCACCCTGTAACAGGTCCTAGGTTGTTTTTTTTATTACCTCATTGTCATTACTACATGCCTAGCAAGTGTGGGAGATATGTACTTTGCCGCTCAGACTGTCTTCATAATGACCTTTGGTATTTAGCTTTTAGCCATGAAATATGCTTATAGTTATAACATGAAAAGCATCTTTCGATATAGAAAAGCCCACTCTATTTATACTGATAAAACATCAAGATGTTAAAAGTAACTTCATGTCTGTCTTGTTGACAGGTTTCTGTTGTTGTGATCGATTATCTGGATTCTACAGTTTTTCCTGTGTTTCACCTTGATCTGGTGCAAAGATCAACTCTAGAGGTATTCTCATCTAAACAACACACATAATAATGACATGTCCCACTTCAAAACACAAGAACTCTAGCTTTTACATTCATCAAGGCAGGGTTTTTAGATCAGTTCACTTTCCAGGACATGGATTGTCATCTAAAATGTCCAACAGATTGTTTTAAAATTTGGTATATATTTATATATAGTTGATAAAATGATGAAAATGTCCTCATGCCAATTGTCTCCATCAAAATCCCTGTATAAGTACACAATGTAAACCACTCATGTAAACAAGCTTAACACGTGTCAATACCTGTATTTTGTCCTTTGTGTGAAATGAATCTAAATAAATCCCACATTGATACTTCAGAGACATGCTGTGTCCCAGTGAGAGTTGGGTGAACCTGGATTACCCTCCCTGCCCCGACACTGATGCTGTCATCCCCTCCAGTCCTACAATGAGGTCCACCAGCCTAATATGCCCCACCCCTAGGTCCTCCATCTTCTACAACAGCATCCTACAACAGTTTGAACAACCTATTTCCTTCCCATCCTTCATCCCAAGCGAGTATCTGAATATTCATAATGCAGGTTTTTTCAGTCCAAATACCAGTGTGCTTCATTCAGACTATCCTAAATTTACTTCTAACTGTACTGACACTAATGACCTTCCTTCTATGTTTCAATTAGAGAGCAGACATGTCTTCCCCAGCCGAAATCATACATCTCTCCCTGCCACCAGTGCAAGCATATTCCCAAGCCCATGTGATATGTCCCTCCCTGCTGGCACCAGTGCAAGCCAAACCTCAATCGTCGAAGAGTTTATTGCTGAACTCTCACCACCTCATTTCATGCCTGTTACTATTTGCAGTGAATCAAGCCTGAGTCAGAACATCAGCCAGACGTCATTGGGTTTCAATGTTTCCACCTTCCAGCCTCTTCAAGTTGACAGCACATGCAGCCTACATCAAGAAACAATCAGCCAGACTTCATTGGTCCTGGATTTCGATGTTTCCAGCTTCCAGCCTCTTCCAGTTGACAGTGAATGCAGCCTGGATCTCCCAACAATTAGCCAGACTTCATTGGGCCCGGATTTTGATGATTCTACATTCCAGCCGCTTCCAATTGATAGTGAATGCAGCCTAGGTGAAGCAGCAATCAGCCAGGCATCATTGGGCCCAGATTTCGCTGTTTCCAGCTTCCAGCCTCTTCCGGTTGCCAGTGAATGCAGCCTGGATCTGCCAACAATCAGCGAGACGTCATTGGGCCCAGATTTTGATGATTCAACATTCAGGAAGCTTCAGGTTGACAGTGCTTGCAGCCTAGATCAAGCATCAATCAGCCAGACGTCATTGGACCCTGAGTTTCATGATTCCGCCTTCAGGCTGCCTTCAATTACCAGTGCATGCAGCCTAGATGAAGAAACAATCAGCCAGACGTCATTGGGCCCAGATTTGGATGATTCCATCTTCAGCAGTGAAAGCAACCTGTCACAAGACTACAGCCAGACTTTGATGAAATCCATTGTCAGCCCTGTTCCTGGGCGCAGTGGTTCCAGCATGTCACAGACCATCAGCCAAGTATCAAGTATTGAGGATTTCAGTGAATCTATCCTCATAGCCTATTCCTTTCAGCTGTGAATCCAGTCACAAGATATCAGCCAGAATGAATGAAAGTTTTGGCAAGAGCTCAAAATATACTAAACATGTAAAAGCAGAAAGATACAATTTACTATTACCATAACCCCCCCACACTTCTGCACTTTTAATGCCTGTTCTCATGTCGTGTTTCTTTTGTATTTTTACAGATTTCTTCCTTGAATTTGTCCCAGGATAATAATGAAGGTTGCAGTGACTCTCCTGCTGTGAACCTTGGCTTCATTTCATTTCAGATCTATTTATCACTTCAGACCAAGCTGTGTCCAGCAACAGAGATCCAAGATCTAGCTCCAGCCAAAACTCCATCCACCTTGGTGACCCCTTCCTTGGCTCAGGACTCAAGATTTAGTTTGAACTTCATATATATCTGTGTTCAATAACAGTGACCCAGCTCCAGCAAAAAATCCACCTGCCCTTCTACTCTTTCCAGAAACTCTTAAATGATTGTCTGCATCCCAAATACAACCTGCTGGAACCACAATCTGATTCTGTGAAAGAGATTTGTCAGTGACAAGATTCCCAGTCTAACGGGTAGCCAATGCAGTTCTTTCAGGACCGTAGTTATGTGGTTGGGAATTAGGCATTGTGTGCTGAGCCTGACGCCTGTATTTAGCACACACTGTATCTCGTTCAAATGACTTTGCTGAATGTCCTGCAGGAGATATTATTATTAGATTAAAGCACAAAATGCAGCAAATTGGGTTTGGGTGATCCTGGCACAGTCAGGCTGGTTAGGCTTATCATCAGCTCAGGGTTCTTGCCCCCTCTACACGCAGCCCAGACAGCAAATGGGAATTCTTCCAGGAAGCACTGCCTAGTCAAACCCACTAAGAATGTTTTGGAGAAAGTGAAAACTCCTCAACACTGCAGTCTTCTGCAATACACATATTGTCAGAAGGGCTTTATTCCCAGGAACAAACCTGGGTACCAATTTCAGTCAACAGATTAGGAGGTACCAAACCTGAGGCACCGAGAACAATGAGGAGTTGGACAACTTGGTTCTTGGGATGTAAGCGTGACATTTCGAAAGCGAGGTCTGCATATTTGCCATGTTTTTCCTCCATCTTGTCAATCACATTAGTGTCAAAAGAGACAGAAAATTCAATAACAAAAATGATTTCATTAGACTTTTCAAAAAGGTCCAGATCAGGTTTGTTGGCCTGGACAGGCGTGAGGCCTATTCCAAAGAATTTTGTATTGATGATTTTCCATGACGCCCTTGCGGGTCTTACCATTGATGGACCTCTGTGTCAAAACCACCAGCATGGCAAAGATGGTATTATTATTATTATTATTATTATTATTATTATTATTGTTATTATTATTTTTTTATATTTTTTTTACGGGTTAAACAAAAAATGCAGCCAATTTGATTTGACTGATCTGGCACAGTCAGGCTTGTTAGGCTCATCATCAGCTCAGGGTCCTCGCCTCCTCTACATGCAGCCCAGACAGCAAATGGGACTTCTCCCAGGAAGGGCTGCCAAGCCAAACCGTCCCAGAACATTTCTGAGAATGTTAAGACTCCCTAACACTGCAGTCTTCTGCATTACCCAGGGCTGTATTTCTGGCAACATACCCGGGTACTCTCCCAATGTCAGTCAACAGATTTGGAGGTACTAAATCTAAGGCACCGAGAACAATGGGGAGTCGGACAACTTGGTACTTGGATTGCGAGCGTGCTACATACTGACAGTAATTGGCAGTAATTAGCATTCCTCATAATTTACTATCACCAAAGATCAGTTATTTTAGGAGTTTACCTGCTTGTCATTGGCAACCTTGTCTTTCATGGTTTTTCACTTGTGGCATCATAAACATTGCTTAAGTTGGGCAACCAATTGCCACATATATTGGCCCACAAGTTGTAGTTGTCATTTAGGCCGGCAGCGGTAGTTATCATGTCCCTGCTAGCGGTAGTTGCCACGATGCTTTTACAACATTAGCTGCTATTTTCTCCAAGCAGCAGTAATTGCTACCAGGGCCAACAGTGGAAGGTATCATGTCACTGGCGGCGGAAGTTGCCACAATCCTTTTACAACGTTAGTTGCCTTAGGCAAGCAGAGGGAGCTGCTAATTGACATTGACAGAGGTAGTTGCCACAGTAGCTTTTCATGTAATTAACTGGAAGTTTCGTAGCACTAGGACCTGCACACCCTCAGCCCTTGTTCTTATTGGCAAGGGCATACTGTGTATGGTAACCCCCTCCCTTCTTTCCTCGGCATAACGTGCAACAACTGCTATTTATTTCAGGGGATATGTTCGTTGGTGGTGAAGGTGTGGCTATAAGGGGAGGTGGAGGCCACCTTTACTAATAATTGTTTGCTTGTTAAAAAATAAATACAAATATGTCATTAGTTCGGTTTTACTGCACTCCTAAGCCATCATATTGAATCACTGGTGTTCATTGATAAGTATTTCATAAAGCCAAGTTTACTTCATTTATACATCTCTCTCTTGCTATTACATTGTAGAGGTATACACAACATGTATAATCTGCATGGTAAGTATATCAACAATGTGCAGACTGCCTGTTGTTTATTTGAACTGCCAGTAATTACCATGATAAGTGTTATTTTATTCAGTGGATATGTTTTGGTGGCGAAGGTGTGGCTATAAGGGGAGCTGGAGGCCACCTTTACTAGTAATTGTTTGCTTGTTAAAAAATAAATACAAATCTGCCAAATTTGGTTTTACTGCACAACTTAGCAGTCATAACAAATCACTGATGTTTATTGATATGTATAATCTGCATGGTAAGTATATATATAAACAATGTACAGACTGCCTGTTGTTTATTTGAACTGCCAGTAATTACCATGATTACTATTTTTTATTTCAGTGGATATGATTTGGTGGTGAAGGTGTGGCTATATGGGGAGGTGGAGGCCACTTTAAGTGTAAAACAATGTATTTGTTTTCCCCTTGAAATATGTGACACACAATTAATAAGACAACTTATTTTTTATGGACTTAATAAATACGATTTTAATTGCAGGCACAATTTTGTCTTATGTTTTTATTCCCCCAATCAGTAAGTGAGTGAGTTGAGTTTAACTCTGCTTTAGCCAGTGTTTCAGTCATATCACACTGCGTCTGCTCAAAGTGACAGAGGCTTGTAGTGGTTTCCCACTTATGAGATGCATAAGCACTGTACGAGGATGACAAGCTATGTATTATGATTGGTCTTTGAACCTGTGACAGGCAGGTCCTGGCATGACAAACGCCACTGGGCCACACAAAGGACTGTCACTGGGGAGAGAATCAGTCAGAATGATTCCCATTTGACATAGTTATCCAAATAACTCAAATAAATGGGTCTGAATAAACACTGTTTACCAAGATTCATCAAGGTCCAATTCCATTAGTAGTGAGGTAACAATAAAACAAATATTATTTTTGCATACCTCAAAGTGAGATTGAGAAATCAGAGTGCAGGTCCCCGATTGTTCAAAATTGTTCTGTGTGTTATACACATACTTGTAGTCCATCCACTTCTTTTTAACATCTTTGGACAGTCTCTTGACACCACTGTTTGCACTGATGCTGAAACAAGATAAGTGAACTTAGTAAGATAAGTCAAGAAAGAAAAGTAATAGAGTGAAGGGTTAGAACTCCAAAATCCCAGCAACATAATGTATCGAGAGAATGTCTCCTCTAAAATACGGATAGAGTGGTGTCCCTTTCTACAACTTCAGAAATTGGCACTAGTCCTGTAGTCCTTACCTTTCATTAAATCACTCACCTCTGTGAAATGTCCTCCTATGCTTTCTTCTTCATGCTGTTCGTTAAATTGTTGCTAAACGACGAAAACAACACGTTTTTCTTCGACTGAACACTCTCTATTAGAAGGGCTAACTCACTGTGAGTCCAGTTCTTACTCCTTGGGCGTTTCAATGTCAATGGTTGACTACAATCCACGATCGGTTGATAATACGACTGGCGTCGTCTGCTAATAGAGTTAAGGGATTCCCCTGTAAATTAATGACGTCATTGGGGAAATCCCCCTATCTTCTTACCTCCATCACAGGAGAGCGACAATCTTAATTTACGACAATGATCGTAAGACGATGAATTTACGAACGGATTAAGAACGCTTTGTGGATCGGTCGTAAATATTAGTAAAAGTTTTGTGGATCGGTCGTAAATATTAGTAAAAGTATCTTAATTTCAATCGTAAACTCTTACGATATGTGTAAGTTACGAAGGCTTTGTGGATCGGGGCCCAGGGACGATAGAGTTACGAATATTCGTAGGATTCGGCTGGATTCGCATGAATATTGTCAAGAATTCCCTACGATTTACAAAAAGCTATTACGAATACTTCACGAAAGTTAGGAATCAGTTAAAAATACGCTGAATGCATGTACGAATCAGGTACGAATAAAAATGAATTCGTGACTATTCTTGACAATTTTGGGGGTTTTCCCTCGAGATAGCTTCGGCGTGTATTCGTGGGATTCGTGACAGATTCGTAGCCGATTCGTCGTAAAGCCACGAATTCACGAATCCCCGAATGAGTTAAGAATACCTACGAATGCCTACGAATCAATTACGATTCAGTTACGATGCCTAAGAATGCATTACGAATTTGTTACGAATTTACTACGATATTTTTGAATCGGGAGTTCGTGGCCAAAACTTTGAACAGCTCAAAACTTTTGCCACGAATTCCCGATAGCTCAAGAATTGTCAGAACTAACTACGACTATATGCGAATCAGTTAAGAATTTCACGAGCTGATTACGATTCAACTACGAATCCTAAAATTTATTAATTCGTGGGATTCTTGTTCTGTGTGGAATAGTAGTATTACAGCCTGAAACAGCTCGGTGAGATTCTTCTCTTTCTCCTTGAAGGGACAAGGCCCAACTCTACCACCCAAGCATGTACATAGTTATATGTATGTAAATATCTGTAGGCGTGTAAGAAAATTGGCACTCTAGGGGTGATATGTTATGATAACATCACAATTGTATCACATTAACGACAGATATTCAATATTGTGTCTAAATGTGTTATTAATGATAATCATATAATTAATATATCCCCAAATAACTCATCTTTTGGTTCTCCGTCATTTTGTAGGGCTGTTCCACTTTAGACAAAGGTAAACAGGTGTCACTTACTTCTGCGGTGTCTAGCCGGGAGAGCCACATTTCAGAAATGGCTATTGCCGGTAGAGCCACATTTTCACCTATTCTAGCGGGTAATTACTTAATCCGATTACCGATACCTTTATATGAGTGTCCCACATTTAAGTTACTAAGCGTGGTGTTCTTTAGAGATACCTTTAAATGAGTGTCCCACATTTAAATTATTAAGCGTGGTTTTCTTTAGAGATACCTTTAAATGAGTGTCCCACATTAGTTGGACTTTGAACGTGCAGCTCACAATGCCGTGACTGATGTATTTCCTGGGACATTAGTTAGAGGGTGTTTCTTTCACTTCACCCAATGTATCTGGAGGAGGGTGCAGAAAGAAGGTCTGGTGATGGACTATAAGGAAGATGAGGAGGTGAAGAAGCTGGTGAGAAGAGCTGCTGCCCTCCCTCTACTACTCGTGACAAAGTGGATGATGTGTGGCTTCATGCCATTGCTGACTCTCCTGCTGGCCCTAAAGTGACTGCCTTCATGGTCTACGTGACAACCAGTTGGGTTCAAGGAGGGGCCTTCATGCCAGAGATTTGGAACCTTTTCGAAAACCAAGGCCACCGTACCAACAATCACCTGGAAGGGTGGCACGACAAGATAAAGAAACTTGCCAAGAAGTGCCACCCGAACATCTAGGAGGTAGTGAAGCTATTTCAGCGAGAGCAGTCACTCAAAGAGGTTGCAGTCCTGAGACTCTCTCACCAGTGGTCAGAACCTTCACAAAGAAAGCCCCTTGACACGCCAGAAACCTATGATTGTGGGTTCGAATCCCGGTTCGCCCCGATTATGTTTCTAGGTTTGTCAGCACCATACCCGTGCTCGTGGGTTTCACCGAAGTGGTAAACGTCTGAGACCTGCATCACTTCGGGCTTTCCTCCCACATTAAGCTGACACGCCGCGATATAACTGGAATATTGTTAAAAGCGGCGTTAAACCCAACTCACTCACTCACTCACGAAGAAAGAAGTACATGGCAATCGATGCACGTATTGCGTCCCTCAAGATCCAGCTCCTGAACCAACACCTGAGTGAGATGGAATATGCTGACCACGTGGGCGACCTCCTTCATCCGAAGTAATGACATTAAATCCATTATGATATTCATATGCTATTCATGTTCATCAATGTAAAGTTTTGATGAATATGTTATCCTTGTTGAATAAAAAATGAGAAAACAAGACTTGTTTTGTTATATACGGTAACCTGTTAGAATCTCAAAGCATGTTTTGACAGCATAGCCGCGAGAGCCACATTATACAATCACGCAACCATAACCATTGCCGCGAGAGCCACATCAATTTGGGCTATCTATTTTCGAAATGTGGCTTTGCCGGCCTGTAACCACTTCTGCACTCAACCTTACCTTATCCCCGTATAACCCGTCTGACAATTGGGTCGTCTGACAATTCGGCCGTCTGACAATTGGGTCGTCTGACAATTGGACCATCTGACAATTGGGTCGTCTGACAATTGGGCCGTCTGACAATTGGACCGTCTGACAGTAGTGAGGTAACCTGAGCAGGTGTTGATAAACCGGACGGACGCAATTAAGCGGCCGCAGTTTATCAATGCTCGGTATACCGAGTAATTTCAAATAGCCAATGTTATCATGTGTTTAATGTTATACACTTCCTAAATACCTTCTAAATGTGTCCTTAATTCCAAAATATTCGCGAAGATAGAGATTAATTCTCAGATACCTACCTTGTCCATTGCTAATAATCAATCAGCGCTAATTAACTGATTATTTCGCTTGTTAATATTTCGACATTAGTTATCTTATTACTTTTGTTATAAAACATGTGAGCAAGTATGGTTTTATGCCGTTTTAGCAGTATTCCAGGGGCTACATTGGCTACACACATTGTACCCATGTGGGAATCAAGCCCTGGGCCCCGATCCACAAAGCGTTCGTAACTTACACATATCGTAAGAGTTTACGATTGAAATTTAACTTATATTTGCGACCGATACACAAAGCGTTCTTAATCCGTTCCTAAATTCATCGTCTTACGATGATTTTCGTAAATTAAGATTGTCGCTCTCCTGTGATGGAGGTAAGAATATAGGGGGATTCCCCAATGACGTCATTAATTTACAGGGGAATCCCTTCACTCTGTTAGCAGACGACGCCAGTCGTATTATCAACCGATCATGGATTCTAGTCAGCCATTGACATTGAAACGCCAAAGGAGTAAAAACTGGACTGACAGTGAGTTAGCCCTTCTAATAGAGAGTGTTCAGTCGAAGAAAAACGTGTTGTTTTCGTCGTTTAGCAACAATTTGACGAACAGCATGAAGAAGAAAGCATAGGAGGACATTTCACAGAGGTGAGTGATTTAATGTGAGTCATATGTCTGGTATGAACTGGAGTACAAATATGTAAATAATGATCACGTAAAACATTGATGTTTTATGTTGAATATGGCAGGGCGAGGAAAGCGTTCTGACATTAAATATCTGAATGTATCTGTAGGCTATCTCACCAACCTGTCAACAAGGTGTTACTTCATCAACCCGTCTTTGGTAATAACTTGATGCAGTGTTGTAACATTCCTCAGACGGTGTTATAGGGTTAACTATTAGCGTAAGCAGCTATCGGCGACATGCATATCTGATGGAAAAAGTGTAATTCTGTTAAACATACTGACCAAACCATTAAATATTGAAAGACAACTGAAAACACCAGATTATATATTTCACTTCAAATGTTATTTCATTTAGTGACAATTTTATCGGTGTCAGTTTACATTGTGAAATTTGGGTTTAAGTACAAGGGGAAATCACTTTCACTCAAAGCTAGATTTTATGGGCGCTGCTTTAAATTTATGATGAATATATTTTAAAGTGATGAAGGAGTAAGCACATTCTCCGAAACACCCACAGGTATTAAGTTCCCCCCCAAAATATACAAAAATATTTTATTAACAAGGTACGTACATGGAAGGCTTGACAGGTTGCAGTATTGTTCGACGTAAGGTAACAAATGAAACACTGTCTCAAATTGATGCGCCAGGTCAATGCTGCACGTGTGAAATGATTCTGTAAAGCAAAACGTCACTGCAGATTCGACTCCTAAGGTATCAGAAATTTTATTAATGCATATTCATTAAATTATAATTTGATTCGCCGCGATTGTGTTGATTCGCGTCTGATTGCGTACAGCCAATTGTCAGTGACACTTGACACTGAGTGAGATTTCTCAGTTCGCTACACACGTCACTAATTAGTGGTAGATTGGCTTGTCGGTGATCAGACATCAGTTCGCTATATCCGTTAGTTCCCTGTAGAGAGTTCGTTATGTACGTACATTTTATATGATAATATATAGGAGATAAAGCGGGGTTATTTTCAACAGTTCGTTGTATCCGTTTGTTCGCTTTATCCTTGTTCGTTATATCCGTGTTCTGCTGTATATCGGTTCCCATGTATTTGGTATGACCTCACACCGGTGTATAGGTAAACTCGAACCCAGAATCCTGCATCTTCTCGTTCCATATTATATCGAATTTCTCGCTTTCTGCCACTGTGAACCAATTCTTCCAGTCCCCGATCTCACCTGAAACAGAGAAAAAAATGTATCAAAGCCAGCGTACTTTAAACATTCATACATCTGTCAATGAGCCGGATAATGGAAGCATATTAATAGACTACAAATACCGTTAGTTACATCTGTAACACAAACATGTCTTGATGCCGTACCAGTATGCCTTGATAACACTGACAATAAAACGGAAATATCTTATTTACGGTTTTTGGAAATAAAAATACCACCGCTACTACTACGACTACTACTACTACTACAACTACTACTATGGGAAAATAGGGGGCACGGGTGGCCCAGTTGTCTAAGGCGCCGCGATTCGCTCTGCAGAGTTGCGTCCCTTGGGCACGCCAGAAACCTATGATTGTGGGTTCGAATCCCGGTTCGCCCCGATTATGTTGCTATTATGCCCCAAACGCAAGTATCGTATTTTCTCGCGATTTCGTGGTTTGTTTCCTGATTTCACAAGTCGAGATTTTAAATCCTGTAACATATCATATTTTGGTACAAATGAATTCACAAATGTACTAAAAACACGAATGTGATGCATGCCAAGAACGCGAGAAGTTGACAAAATCTTACGTTCTTGGGATCTCGAACCTTTGCATACATAGCTTTTTCCCCAATGGTCAAAAATGCGAGAACGCAAGACTGTCTGAATAGTACTTCATAGATATGACCTGGTATGTTGGTGACATTTCCGAGGTGAAATACTGTTGGCAAATCACTCGATAACAAATACTGTATGTACTTCTTCGTGTCGTTTGTTTCACTAAACTGACGACAGTTAGATGTCTGATAGCATCCACACAATGCGTACATAACATGATGGTAATTTCAGTGTTCCAAAGTTGACACACAGTTGAAGAGCTTAGAGCCATAAGGGCCAATGTCATTAGGAGTCTGATTTAAGAAAAGTGATGAAAACACATAATATTATACATGTTAATGAACTTCTTTTTTACCGATAAATTCCTAGACATTAACGCATTCTGATAGCAGAGATATAAATGGTGTTGTAAAAACATTCGAAAAAAGGAAATAAACTTACGTTTTTAATTTGTGTAAGGGTGGAAAGGGCCCTATTTGACCCCAGGCATTTGCATGGGATTTTATATGTGAGATTAATAAACTACTACTGAAAGTTCAAACACATATTATTGAAGTACTTTTAAATGATTTAAACTAATGCCAAATGATAATAAGATGTCCAAACTTTCAAAATATCTCTCAGACAACCAGTTTCAACCACACACGGAAATAGAGCTAAAAGGGCCAAAATCTAGCAAAGTGACAATGGCCCTTTTGAAACTTGACTTTGGCCCTTTTATAGAATTTTAAGTAGCTATATTTCAAAAACGCATCAATGAAAACATACAATATTTTTTCTATAGATAGATAATAACTCATAGACGTTAATTATGCAATAATATGCAAAAAGGACCAAAGTGCAATTTGGCCCCCTTTAGCTCTAAGCTCTTCAGTCGCATTTTAATACATGTAGTTCTGTATAGGTTACATACTGGCCACTATTCTTAATTATTGTTACCGGTGGGCTCTCACAATGTAGACGAGACCACCTTAACTCCGATATTGCTATGTAATTGTGCTGAGTCCTCTGTTTCGGATTCATTGTATGGCTGTGGCCATTATCCAGTCTTTATCTGGAAGACCCGTGAAGATCCGGGGTAGAATAGGTCTTCAGCAACCCATGCTTGCCGTAAAAGGCGACTATGCTTGTCGTAAGAGGCAACTAACGGGATCGGGTGGTCAGGCTCGCTGACTTGGTTGAAGCATGTCATCGATCCCAATAGCGTAGATTGTACTCATGATGTGAATCACTGGATTTTCTGGTCCAGACTCGATTATTTACAGACCGCCGTCATATAGCTGGAATATTGCTGAGTGCGGCGTAAAATAACAAACCAACTTTGTCTAGGGCATGGTTGTTACCGCCGACCCTGGGTACTCGGACGTTCCCTGTCGTCACATGAGACACCACAGCTTATAGAGTTTCCTTTTCAGGACAGGATAGGGCTGAAATCCTTGCCGTGGCCACCCATCCAACTACTCACCGGCACCAGCGTTGCGATACCTTTTTACATAAAGTTAACAGCTGTTTGCCTATTACGCATATTGGTATCTGTTTCGGCGGATAATCGAGACTGGTTATTCTCTGGCGTTGACGTTTTATAGCAACTTATTAGTAACCTGTGCGCTAAAACACAGAACATACCAAGTGTCACCACTGTGATATAAGTCACGGGCGATCAAAATGGTGCACGACTCCACACTAGGAATCTTCTAAGCCTACTGTGTTTTCAGTGTAGAGCTAGGTAACCTGTAAATTTAACCGCGCAAAATTGAATTTGGAACAGAGTCAGCCTTGTTTAACTTATTTATGACTACACTGAACACAGGAAGTACCACATGTCACCATTGCGATATCAGTGATAGGGGCAACCTCCCATTTGTTAGTTGTTAGACGGCTTAAAACAACATTTCCAGATGGTTTCACATCTGTGTAGCCAGCATTACCTTGACAGGAAATAGAACAGCCCAGGTTGAGAATAACATAGCGCCATATTAGTCTGTATCTTATTTTTGTGATCTCATTTCTATACCTTTGACAATGAGTGAGTGAGTATGGGTTTACGCCGCTTTTAGCAATATTTTAGCAATATCACGGCGGGGGACACCAGAAAATAGGCTTCACACATTGTGCCTTGTCGGGAATCGAACCCGGGTCTTCGGCGTGGCGAGCGAACGCTTTAACCACTAGGCTACCCGACCGTTTAAATGTTTTAGTATTGGTTAAATTCCTGTTTTTGTATTGATAAGATTTATATTTTCGTATTGAAGTGATCTGACTTTTGATTTGTAGAAATTGACAGAATTTCTTTGGCCGCTTTGTTGTATAAGTTCCTTGTTGTATGACTTGGCTTTAGGAAATCTACGACAGATGGCGGATCTAACTGCCATTCTTGTGTTGACTGAGCCATGGCTGGGGCATGGTCTTGACATTCCAGTAACCAGTGAGCAATGGATTCATGGCTACATCAAATTTCTGTTTATTTGAGTCTTTATTACAATGAACGCGACGTTTCAGTGTGAATACTTCCACCTTTATCAAGGGGTCACTTTCTTCATGACGCATTAATTTGTAATAAGGAAATTGTATATCCATAGAATTATCTCCCTTTGTTCTACAGGATGCTCTCCAAAATACTTTTTTTATTTGACCGTTAGAGAAAGTAAATAAGTTGTTGACAAGGTGTTTTTAGATCAAGGTTAATGAATATACTACAAACACAATCATTATCATAACCACAAGCATTTGAGGAGAAAATCCAGAATAAAAACACATTTACTCATGAAAGATGAACTTTTGTTTTGTACACAAACCACTTAGGTCCGCATCAACGTCTGGCAAGCTCCTCTCACAATAGCAATCCAGCAAGGACTGTCCCACTATAGCTGTGAGTGTTGTCTTACCTCACCCCCTCCTCTGCTGTCTAGCGCATGGGAAATAGCCGTTATAGGCAATCGTTTCGTTTGTTTGTTGTTTAACGCCGCACTCTGAAATATTCCAGCTATATATCGGCGGTCTGTAAATAATCGAATCTGGACCAGACAATCCAGTGTTTGACATCATCCGCATCGATCCACGCAATTGGGATACGATGACATGCATCAACCAAGTCAGCGAGCCTGACCACCCGATCCCGTTAGTCGCCTCTTACGACAAGCATAGTTGGCTATTATGTGGACGACTCCACACAAGGGACTATTATTCTCTTGGACCTGAGGATTTTCTCTTTGATGTACATGTATAGGCAAGTTTTAGTTGCGTACTTCCCAGGGAGCTGAGAATTTATTTTGGAACTCTAATTGATCTGTACCTTTCCTATAGAACGTCCCTTCGACGCCATCTTTCCATATCTTCATGGAAGGTGGCACCTTCATTTCCTCGTCAACTTTTTTCATCTTCTTAAAGGAACAAGCAAGCCCAACGTCCTCACAGAACTGGTCCGTAGTTGTCAGGCCTAGAAATTTGGCGATGTCTTTAACACTCTTGACAGGATCCTGGAAGCAGATGTGTCAGACTTTGTTTTGACCTTGCGTAGTTTGAAAAGATTATTTCGTGTGTATTGCGCCATGGTATTTCCTAGGACGAGCTTGTGTCAAGAGGCACACAACTTGAGTGGAGTGAGTGAGTGAATGTTGTTTTGCTTTCACTCAAAAAGACAAGAATCATATTAATGGGACAATAGTAGTACAATGTTGTACAACCTTGAAGGAAAATGTAGGTGTAAGGTCGACAACGCCATTTATGCAGGTTTGTAGCTGATAGAAATACTTACAATTTTCATGTCCTCATAAAACATATTAAGGACAGGTAATTCTGGTGAAGCTGCCACTTCGGCTTTCCATGCTCGCAGATAGGTGGAATAGGATCCAAACGGCACTGGAAATTAAGGAAGATAAAGTTGAAACAATGTGTCCTCTCTGAGTCCATTCGCAGTTATTCTGGAGAAGTGTCGAAAGTGTATTTACAAACGTATCATGTTCATGTCCACACGTGATCACGATCGAAAATACGATTGTCCTATCTCCCAATTCTTTAACCATGGCTTGTTACAATCATGGCCCTAAGATCGCCCTGTGGGTCGTGACCCCGTATAGGTGAGTGAGTGAGTATGGTTTTACGCCCCTTTTAGCAATATTCCAGCAATATCACGGCGGGGGACACCAGAAATAGGCTTCACACAATGTACCCATGTCGGGAATCGAACCCGGGTATTCGGCGTGACGAGCGAACGCTTTAACCACTAGGCTACCCGACTGCCCCGACCCCGTATGGACAGGACGTCGACATGTTTATGAATACAAGTTGGACCCCACCTTAGGCTTGGACCAGGTCATTGTCTGTCGCCATTGTCACAGGATCCATTGTCGTCATTTAACATCGCATCGGCAGGTTTCACTCATATCGCGACTCGAAGACGTGGAAGGTCGACAAATACTGTCAAGTTATCCATAGTTCGTTCTGCTCATGTAATAAACAGCGACAAACAAAATTTTCATTATCATAAGAAATGTCCCTAAACGATTCTGACTATCTCATGAGCATGTGTTTATGGATAACTATTCAATAGTGATGACACCAGATGTTCATGAAGACTAGTAAGTGAGTGAGTGAGTTGGGTTTAACGCCGCTTTTAACAGTATTCCAGTTATATCACGGCGTATCAGCTTAATGTGGGAGGAAAGCAGGTCTCAGACGTTTACCACTTCGGTGAAACCAATGAGCACGGGTATGGTGCTGACAAACCTAGAAACATAATCGGGGCGAACCGGGATTCGAACCCACAATCATAGGTTTCTGGCGTGCCCAAGGGACGCAACTCTGCACAGGGATTCGCGTCGCCTTCGACGACTGGGCCACTCGTGTCCCTTTCGCGAAGACAAACGTCCCTTCAAAGGTGAGACAGGAACCATAAACTTATATTGTTTGAAACGATATATCGTGATAACATGATGGAGTTACCAACGATATATCTTGATAACATGTTTGAGTTGACTTAATTTCACTGTACGGTGTCGTATACACATAATGCTGCACTATCAACGCGGGAGGCACCAGACAAACTTCACACATTGTACCCATGTAGGGAATCGAACCCGGGCCTTCGGCATGACAAACACAAATTTTAAAACTTTAGATGCGGTGCATCAACACGGCGGCAAACCTATATTTACATTAAAATAAATCCACAAAATATTTAATCAAGACATTCAACCGAATTATTTCGAAATTTGTAAACGAAAACGCTCGCTTTAACATACACTACACTAAACGGACGCTGTTGTATAAATATTAACATTAAATTCTTACAGAAATTCGCAAGTGATGACATAGGGTAATTCATATTAGGGGTTTTAAACAACCTACTTGGTGACGTACTTTTTTCTTGGCTTATTAAACCTGTAACCTACTGTTGTATTTTATGTCACGCATATATTTTGAATTCAACCAGATGTCTTTACTTGAGTACATAATCAAGACTCGACCAGGGCAACCTGTAGTTCATACTGTAAGCAACGATCCACGCCATCGGAGTACGATGGTACACAATCAACCTGTTCACCGAGTCTGACCACCCCAGTTATAAAAGAGGTAGATACAAATATACTTTGAAAGAGATAGTCGTACATACCCACTCAGTGGGACAATAATTTTTCGCTACTTCAACCCCCGTCGAGGGCATAGCCACGAAAAATCTCAGTTACTAATCACACATTACAGATTTGTAAAATACATAACCTTTTACATCAAAATTTGCGAATTAGTTCTATATCTTTTGAAAAGTTTAAACGTGAATTAACGTTACTAAAGAGGTCCTTTACTGTTTTGACACAAGATTCTTTCATCACAAGGGATACAAAACGGAGGGTCCTCACCTTTTGCATCTTCCCGAGGCAAGAGAGTTAACTGACTTTAAAAGTCCAGTTTCCACCCTTGCCGAACTAGGCTGGAATTACTGGGCTCGATCGTAGCGCCACCAGTTATGTCCCTTTTAAGCCTCGCCTATGGACCAATCAGATTCCACCTCTCGTATCACTTGCGTTTGCTTCACACAAAATAGTGGCTCACGGTCAGGACGATCTGATCGATAATCAAGACCTGTATTGTGATAAAACGGGTCTTACATCGCGAAATGCATCAAATCACGCGAGCACCTTGATTAAAAACCTAAAAAAAGAAGGAAAATATCTGCCGACAACGAGTTGGCGGTGCACATGCTTTGCAAATCCTGCAATCGACCGAAATCTGCACGACAGTTAACGAACCGGATTTCGATTTCGGTGTGCGCTTTTGATTGGACTATGCATAGACTCATTAGTCCAGCCAAATTGTAACTCCATAATAGCAGCCTTGTTCGGCAAGGATGGAAACTGGACTTTTATAGTCAGTTAACTCCCTTGCCTCGGGAAGAAGCACTTTTTGATAAATATTCATGACTATATTTATTATGGCCAATACGACATCGTCGTAAAATGAGCTCTTCAAATCTGGACTGACAACCCAATTATGTGTGAACGATATTTGGCTTAATTTCATGTAACCTTTTCATACCTACTTGGGTGTCCCACTTCTTCTGCATCTGATCTCGGATGTAGCATCGGATCACAGGTTTGCATGGCCGCAATAGAACAAAGATTGTGCGAACCCTACCTGACACTGGAGCCCTGCGTAGAGCAGATAACTACAAGGTGAGGTGAGGTGAGGTGAGGTGAGGTGAGACGTGGCGTTCGAGACTACTGCACCTATATAACAATATGCATGCACATAAATGTGTATGCGTTTTATAGAGCTAGCCCACTGTGATATCATGCCGCAGTTTAACGTCAATACCCCACTCTATACGCCGAGCCGACCAGTCCTTGTTTTATCCCCTTAGTGCCCAGTGCCAGGCAGGGTAACAACAACTACCATATTTTAAGGCCTTTTGGTATAACCCAGCCGGACATCGATCCCCCGACAGGACAGACGCTCTATCCACTAGACAACAGAGACAGTCAGCCGAGCAGAAGGCTATGGCACATGTTGCAGAGATCAACAAGCGAGAAACATTACCGTCTGAGCGATGTTATCTGAAATCTTATTGGTCGGAAAACTCGTTGGCTTCCCTCTCGTTGGAACCAGGCCTTTGCCTGATTCGTTGGTATAACATAGCGACTACTCCACAAAGTGGCCATATGTATTCAAGGTTGATGGAGGGATGTTGTGTACACAGGACCGTGAAGTATTGACTGTGATCAACCAACCGCTGTACCTACTTTTCCCTGACAAAAATGCCTCTGTAAACTCAACGAAGTCTCCATCATAGCCATACGGTTTCTCCATATCTCTGCAGTGGTTGAAAAAGGACACACAGGCATCTTTAGGGTTGCGCATGATCTGAATACACTTGACCTTCTTCTCCACGACCTGTGTAGGGAGCATGCGCAGAGGGAGGTGGGTGTTGAAGACCCGTGGATGCGGCACTGCTTCTATTCCATCTTTGAAGATGAATTCCATCATCCGGGTCTCTTTCACATCCTTCTGGTACTGGATGGTCCCACTGATTAGCATCGCGATGACTTCCCACAGCCAATGGGTTCCTAAAACAATCAATATAAAAAATCAAATTGAAACAGAATAGTTCTGTGTTGTATCAAAATATAAAAGTTCTGCTAAATTACATATACCATGCCTAGGACCACACAGCTTGATGGACTTTGAAATAAATAAATCTCTCCTTGTCCCATCCAGGTGACTAAAAGGAAATCTTGTGTGTATGGCTGTGCGTGCGTGCTTGCGTGTGCGTGTGCGTGTGCGTGCGGGAGAGTGTGGCACCGTGGACTTTTGGAAGGGACAGAATATTCTTTCGGTCACTTCTTCGTTTTTTCTCTTGAATCTCTAGTTACTATTGATTCTTTTCAAAAAGTATCGAAGCCTTTTTTGGATATGATCATGAGGGTGTTCTTTTAAAGAGGGTTGATCATGTGGGTATCATATTGAAGATGGAATTGATCATGACGGTGACTTTTTGAAGACCATGACAGTGTCCTTTTGAGGAGGGATTTGATCAGAAGGAGAGAGGTTTGATAATGAGGATGTTATATAGAAGAAGTATTTGACATGAAGGTGTCCTTTTGAGCAGGAATTCGCCATGAAGGTGTCCTTTTGATGAGGAATTTGACATGAAGGTGTCCTTTTGAAGTGGGATAAGATCACCAGGGTGTCCTTCTCCTTCGCATATTGAATAGGAGAACTGATTACTTAATTTTAGGATCACGCCATAAGCAGCATGTGAAACACTATACTGATCGAATATACTGTTGAACAGAGCAAGAGCATAAATTTTATGTCAAAATGTTATCATATGAAAATTAGTTCAAGAGATAAAGAGATAATACTGAAGGAATGTCGGGCCTGTAGCCTTAGAGGTTGCACCTAGCTAGTTTGATCACTTAACCGTTCCAGGATCCGCTGATCGGAGATTTTTCGGGGATTCGCCTTAGCACCATACGCGTGCTCAATGATTTGACCAAAGTGGTAAACACCTAAAACTGACAATAAATCGGGCTTCAACATTCAGCTGACACGCCGTGATATTACTGTGATGCTGTTCATAGCAGCGTTAAACCAAACTCTTTAGGGATCGCTCCAGTGAATCCGCTGTGATTCGAGCTCGGGACATCCCCGTGGGGAGCAGGGAAAGCAATCAGTACATCATGCTTGCCGAGAGGCCCGTCTGAAATAGGGATAGGCTGGTAAGGCTTGGCGTCATTTTCTTCTTACCCCGATGGTGTGGATTGCTTGCGTGTGCTCTGTGAGGAGTGTACCTGTTTTAGACTCGTTCGTCATGTAGCTGTCATGTAGCTGGGATTTAAGACTGCGGTGTTAAATAATATTCATTCACTCATTGCGGGCATACCGAGTACCTACCACATTTGGGATACGCACAGATAATGATGTCATCATTCTTAAGTTCAGCTTCTCTGATACTTTTGATTCTGTCTGTGTGATGACCTCCCTTCAACATGGATGGAGGCGGCACGAAGAGATACAGCTCATCATATTGGTAACAGTAGAACCCGTGGCCTTTGGAATTTCTCAGATCGGGTAGCTCATCGAGGTCGGGATCCCTGAAAAACACAATAGTCGTTACAACAGCAGTGAAGTAGAAAGTAGTTTTGAGCGCTTTCAACACAGAATAGTCGTTATAACAGAAGTGAAGTAGAGAGTAGTTTTGAACACTTTCAACATACAATAGTCGTTACAACAGAGTGACGTAGAGAGTAGTTTTGAGCGCTTTCAACACAGAATAGTCGTACAACAGTAGTGGAGTAGAGAGTAGTTTTGAGCGCTTTCAACACACATTAGTCGTTACAACAGAGTGAAGTAGAGAGAAGTTTTGAGCGCTTTCAACACAGAATAGTCGTTACAACAGTAGTGGAGTAGAGAGAAGTTTTGAACACTTTCAACATACAATAGTCGTTACAACACAGAGTGGAGTAGAGAGTAGTTTTGAGTGCTTTCAACACAGAATAGTCGTTACAACAGCAGTGAAGTTGAGAGTAGTTTTAAGCACTTTCAACACACAATAGTCGTTACAGCAGCAGTGAAGTAGAGAGTAGTTTTGAGCGCTTTCAAAACACATTAGTCGTTACAACAGAGTAAAGTAGAGAGAAGTTTTGAGCACTTTCAACATACAATAGTCGTTACAACAGAGTGAAGTAGAGAGTAGTTTTGAGGGCTTTCAACACAGAATAGTCGTTACAACAGAGTGAAGTAGAGAATAGTTTTGAGCGCTTTCAACACAGAATAGTCGTTACAACAGTAGTGTAGTAGAGAGTAGTTTTGAGCGCTTTCAACAAAGAATAGTCGTTACAACAGTAGTGGAGTAGAGAGTAGTTTTGAGCGCTTTCAACATACAATAGTCGTTACAGCAGCAGTGAAGTAGAGAGTAGTTTTGAGCGCTTCAACAAACAATAGTCGTTATAACAGTAGTGAAGTAGAGAGTAGTTTTGATCACGTTCAACACACATTAGTCGTTATAACAGTAGTGAAGTAGAGAGTAGTTTTGAACACTTTCAAGACACAATAGTCGTTATAACAGTAGTGAAGTAGAGAGTAGTTTTGATCACGTTCAACATACTATAGTCGTTACAACAGCAGTAAAGTAGAGAGTAGTTTTGATCACGTTCAACACACAATAGTCGTTACAACAGTAGTGGAGTAGAGAGTAGTTTTGATCCCTTTCAACATACAATAGTCGTTATAACAGTAGTGAAGTAGAGAGTAGTTTTGATCCCTTTCAACACATATTAGTCGTTACAACAGCAGTAAAGTTGAGGGAAGTTTTTGATCACGTTCATCACACAATAGTCGTTATAACAGTAGTGTAGTAGAGAGTAGTTTTTGATCACTTTCAACACACAATAGTCGTTACAACAGTAGTGGAGTAGAGAGTAGTTTTGATCCCTTTCAACACAAATTAGTCGTTGCAATAGCAGTAAAGTTGAGGGAAGTTTTTAAGCCCTTTCAACACACAATAGTCGTTACAACAGCAGTGAAGTAGAGAGTAGTTTTGACCACTTTCAACATACAATAGTCGTTACAAGAGTAGTTGAGTAGAGAGTACTTTTGATCCCTTTCAACACATATTAGTCGTTACAATAGCAGTAAAGTTGAGGGAAGTTTTTGAGCCCTTTCAACAAGCAATAGTCGTTACAACAGTAGTGAAGCAGAGAGTAGTTTTTGATCACTTTCAACACACAATAGTCGTTACAACAGCAGTGAAGTAGACAGTAGTTTTGAGCACTTTCAACACACAATAGTAGTGACAACACCAGTGGAGTAGAGAGTAGTTTTGAGCGCATTCAACACACAATAGTAGTTACAACAGTAGTGGAGTAGAGAGTAGTTTTGATCACTTTCAACACATATTAGTCGTTACAACAGCAGTGAAGTAGAGAGTAGTTTTGAGCACTTTCAACACACAATAGTAGTGACAACAGCAGTGGAGTAGAGCGTAGTTTTGAGTACTTTCAACATACAATAGTCGTTACAACAGCAGTTAAGTAGACAGTAGTTTTGAGCACTTTCAACACACAATAGTCGTTACAACAGCAGTGGAGTAGAGAGTAGTGTTGAGCGCTTTCAACACGCAATAGTAGTTACAACAGTAGTGGAGTAGAGAGTAGTTTTGATCACTTTCAACACACAATAGTCGTTACAACAGCAGTGAAGTAGAGAGTAGTTTTGAGTACTTTCAACATACAATAGACGTTACAACAGTAGTGAAGTACAGAGTAGTTTTGAGCACTTTCAACACACAATAGTCGTTACAACATCAGTGAAGCAGAGAGCAGTTTTGATCACTTTCAACACACAATAGTCGTTACAACAGCAGTGAAGTAGAGAGTAGTTTTGATCACTTTCAACACACACTGGTCGTTACAACAGCAGTGAAGTAGAGAGTAGTTTTGATCACTTTCAACACACAATAGTCGTTATAACAGTAGTGAAGTAGAGAGTAGTTTTGATCACTTTCAACACACAATAGTCGTTACAACAGCAGTGAAGTAGAGAGTAGTTTTGATCACTTTCAACACACAATAGTCGTTATAACAGTAGTGAAGTAGAGAGTAGTTTTGATCACTTTCAACACACAATAGTCGTTACAACAGCAGTGAAGTAGAGAGTAGTTTTGATCACTTTCAACACACAATAGTCGTTATAACAGTAGTGAAGTAGAGAGTAGTTTTGATCACTTTCAACACACAATAGTCGTTACAACAGCAGTGAAGAAGAGAGTAGTTTTTGATCACTTTCAACACACAATAGTCGTTACAACAGCAGTGAAGTAGAGAGTAGTTTTGATCACTTTCAACACACATTAGTCGTTACAACAGCAGTGAAGTAGAGAGTAGTTTTGATCACTTTCAACACACAATAGTCGTTACAACAGTAGTGAAGCAGAGAGTAGTTTTGAGCACTTTCAACACACAATAGTCGTTACAACAGTAGTGTAGCAGAGAGTAGTTTTGAGCGCTTTCAACACACAATAGTAGTTACAACAGTAGTGGAGTAGAGAGTAGTTTTGATCACTTTCAACACACAATAGTCGTTACAACAGTAGTGAAGCAGAGAGTAGTTTTGAGCACTTTCAACACGCAATAGTCGTTACAACAGTAGTGAAGTAGAGAGTAGTTTTGAGCACTTTCAACACGCAATAGTCGTTACAACAGTAGTGTAGCAGAGAGTAGTTTTGAGCGCTTTCAACACGCAATAGTAGTTACAACAGTAGTGGAGTAGAGAGTAGTTTTGATCACTTTCAACACACAATAGTCGTTACAACAGCAGTGAAGTAGAGAGTAGTTTTGAGTACTTTCAACATACAATAGACGTTACAACAGTAGTGAAGTAGAGAGTAGTTTTGAGCACTTTCAACATACAATAGTCGTTACAACAGCAGTGAAGCAGAGAGCAGTATTGGGCACTTTCAATACACAATAGTCGTTACAACAGCAGTGAAGGAGCATTTTATAGCAGCTTGTGTTGACGAGCTACCGATAGCAATGACCAGCGCTCGAGAAGGGCACGCGAGGCCGCCCATCAAAAGGAGGTTAAAACAGGTAAATACGCAAATATTTGGTAAACAAACAATCGTTTGTACACGGGCAAGTATTGAGAAATAATTCAGAACAATGTGACCTTCAAAAAAGACTTACATCACAGACTTTTCATCACTTTGAACTGAGGCCATGATGAATGAGAGCGGCGTTCTCCAGTGTACGGAATGTATTTATAGCTTAAATAATGGGTCAGTCAACTGGTAAGTGACCCTGGGTCGAGCAACTGATCGCCCGCCAGGTCAGGGGTCACCAGATAATCACATGATTTCGTGACATGACGAACAAGAATATACTATATATTCATAAGTAGGAGTATGTAAAACTTGGCAACAGTAAGGGATTGGAGGGAAATAATGAATTAAGAAATACATTCTTTCCTATCTTTGTCAATGAAGCAGATTCGAAGCAGTTCTAGCTTAAAGTGTTCACTTATAACTTCAGATAAGTTTGCTCTTTCATAACCAAATACTACTTTGGTTCAGCTAAAGCCCGAAGAAATTTTGGTCAAAGTGTCTAAAATTTAACATTACCTTGTCCGGAAAAATGAAATTGGATGATAAAAAAACAAAGCAGATGACAATAAAAGCGATCGCCTAAACGCATCACGGCAATGGTCATGGTAACCCGATGCACGTGAGTTCCCTGCAAATTGAAATGCACATGCGTTCCCCCATTTATTGTCCTATAAAAATCCACCCAGATCGGATAACAATTCATTCGTTGCTACCACATGCCAAAGTCGACAAGAAATCAGCGACACCAAGCCCTTGGACGATTATAAGCTGGACAAACCGCCCGACAAGCAGCTAATGCATTTCAAGTCCACCTAAGGACCATATACAGGCTTCAGCAACGGTACCAGATCACCAACTCTTCGGATGACCGACCACGTAGTTGAGGTCCAAGGGTCACCACCTGACGTCAGGATCGTCAGATTGTGCGACAGCATATTCAAGATCGCTTTGCTACTGCTGCGGACACTGCTCGACAGACCATGGGGACACACCGGCGACACATTAGCGCGGACACCGTGTGTCGACGATTAACGAGCAGTCACCTCTACTGTCACAGGCCACACCGAGGACCCATTTTGACACCACGTCATCGCTGGGACCGTCTTCAGTGGGCAGCATCAGCATTGGCGCAAACCAGCAGTGGAGAAGGGTCCTCTTCTCAGACGAAAGCCATTACCTTATCTCAACAGCAGATGACAGAGGGAAAGTCTGGCGACGCCGTGAGGAACGTTATTCGAAAGCTTGTTTTGTTGAGACAGACTCGTTAGGTGGTCCGAGCATCGTGGTGTGGGGTGGAAATGGTCTTGCACAGATGATCAGCCCTGGTCTTCCAAACATCGGTCCATGTGGAGGCAATGGTGTCACAGCAGCTTGGTACATTGATTAAGTCTTGAGACCACATGCCATACCTCATTTGGCACGTCGCCGCAACCACGGGTTTCAGCATGATAACGCCCATGCCCACACTGCCAGAGCAACAAGAGACTTCATCTAGCAGAATGGCATCAGAACAATGCAGTGGCCTGCCCTCAGTCCCGATCTAAATCACATCGAGCACCTGTGGTGTTGGGAATTGAAACAGTTTTTGTATTTCAAGGCAGTTTTACAAAGATTGAATTTACCGGGTTTGGGTTTGTGCCAGACTTTACACCAAGTTTCAATTTCTCAGTTTTTGGTTTGTGCTGTTTAGGATTTTGGCCACTATTTTGGAAACCACGTTTTGTTTGGAAGTTGAAAGCTGCGGTTTTCGCCAAACTTTGACTTTTGTGGGGATTTGAGGCACCGAAATTTTGTAAGTATGGAAGGAGAATGCTTTGTTAGTAGCCAATACATATTATTCTGCAGATTACCTGTTGTTAAAAGGTAAATTTTGTATATTTTATCGGCGAAAGATCTCGATCGCTGTAACTGCTTAAAATCCGGAAGATCCAACAATAATATCTATATTATGTAAACAATGCTGTCTGCATTATGGTGTAACAATATGGTATTTTCATGCTATTTTCGCATTCATTTATTATTTCTTTTATAGATTAAATTAATTTGGTATGAATGTCATACTTTGTTTATTTTATTACAGCGTGTACCAGTCTCAGTCATTCGGTCAAAGTCAACTTTGTAAACCAGTGAACATTATCAGTCTGTCAACCACAATATGTTGTCAATGTTGAATTGGTCAGCCAAATTGTTTGAATGATGATTTGTCCTAGTTTGGCTTGTTCTAGTCCGGACTCATGTCGATTTAAAGTGCTAGCCATCTGAGATACCATGCCGCAGTGTAACATTTATACCCCACTCAGACACAGTAAACTGACTCCGAGCCGACCAGTCCTTGTTTTAGTCCCTTAATGCCGAGCGCCAGACAGGGTAACAACAAGTACCATCTTTTAACGTCTTTTGGTATGATGCGGCCGGGGATCGAACCCCGGACCTTCCGCTCTCCGGGCGGACGCTCTACCACTACACCACGGAGGCGGCCATTGCTGCTTTTAACACTATTCCAGTTATCACGGCGTGTCAGCTAAATGTGGGAGGAAAGCCTGAAGTGAAGTCAGGTCTTAAATGATTATCACCTCGGTGAAACCCACGAGCACGGGTATGGTGCTGATAAACTTGGAAACGTAATCAGGGAGAATCGTGATTCGAACCTACAATTATAGGTTTCTGGCGTGTCCAAGGGACGCAACTCTGCACAGCGAATTTCGGCGCCTTAGACAACTGAGCAACCAGTGCCCCCTAAAATAATGGAGTGCTGGGACAATTGAATGACGTCACATTTATGTTTTATATCAGCTACACAGATATGGAACAATAAACCAAGTTTGATGAAGCAGGCCAATAACTACACTGCTTGCAACTCAAGCCAAAATCTAAAGGATATATCAAGCCAGTCTGATCTAAACGATATATCAAGCCACATTGATCAAAACGAATGATCAAGCTACGCGATCTGAACGATATATCAAGCCACCCTTGTCAAAACGATATATCAAGCTACTATGATCTAACATATTATCAAGATACCTGGATCTAAACGATATGTCAAGTTAATTGATCTAACCGTTTTATCAAGCTACCCGGATCTAAATGATGTATCAAGCCACCCGGATCTTAACTATGTAGCCAGCTACCCAGATCTAAACGATATTGCAAGCTACCCAGATCTAAACGATATATCAAGCTACCCGGATCTAAGCTATGTAGCCAGCTACACGGATCTAAACGATGTTGCACGCCACCCGGATCTAAACGATGTAGCAAGCTCCCCGGATCTAAACTATGTAGCCAGCTACCCGGATCTAAACTATGTAGCCAGCTACCCGGATCTAAACGATGATGCAAGCCACCCGGATCTAAACTATGTAGCCAGCTACCCGGATCTAAACGATGTAGCAAGCTCCCCGGATCTAAACGATGTTGCAAGCCACCCGGATCTAAACTATGTTGCAAGCTCCCCGGATCTAAACGATGTAGCAAGCTCCCCGGATCTAAACGATGTTGCAAGCCACCCGGATCGAAACTATGTAGCAAGCTACCCGGATCGAAACGATGTAGCCAGCTACCCGGATCTAAACGATGTAGCAAGCTCCCCGGATCTAAACGATGTAGCAAGCTCCCCGGATCTAAACGATATATCAAGCTACCCGGATCTAAGCTATGTAGCCAGCTACCCGGATCTAAACGATGTTGCACGCCACCCGGATCTAAACGATGTAGCAAGCTCCCCGGATCTAAACTATGTAGCCAGCTACCCGGATCTAAACTATGTAGCCAGCTACCCGGATCTAAACGATGTTGCAAGCCACCCGGATCTAAACTATGTAGCCAGCTACCCGGATCTAAACGATGTTGCAAGCCACCCGGATCTAAACTATGTAGCCAGCTACCCGGATCTAAACTATGTTGCACGCCACCCGGATCTAAACGATGTAGCAAGCTCCCCGGATCTAAACTATGTAGCCAGCTACCCGGATCTAAACGATGTTGCACGCCACCCGGATCTAAACGATGTAGCAAGCTCCCCGGATCTAAACTATGTAGCCAGCTACCCGGATCTAAACGATGTTGCACGCCACCCGGATCTAAACGATGTAGCAAGCTCCCCGGATCTAAACTATGTAGCCAGCTACCCGGATCTAAACTATGTAGCCAGCTACCCGGATCTAAACTATGTAGCAAGCTCCCCGGATCTAAACGATGTAGCAAGCTCCCCGGATCTAAACGATGTTGCAAGCTCCCCGGATCTAAACGATGTTGCAAGCTCCCCGGATCTAAACGATGTTGCAAGGTCCGCGGTCTGTACTCTGTGCCACAGTCCGACGGATTAATCACTGACATTTTGACGTGATGAACTGACGGGCAAAATAAACTATACAATAATATAAAATGTCCAAACCTTTGATAACACGCTGCATAATATGAAATTATAGTTTGAACTATTTCCACAAAACGCAGCCCAAATGGCCATTTATGAAAAAATACGATAGAAATGGATTTAAACGATAAAATATGTAATTCCCTTGCAGAATCTCGAATTGGTATGAGAGTATCAAACCACCGAACATTGACAACTAGCATCGGAATTTACAAAAACCAAGAACAATCATGTTAAGATTGTATCACCTTAACAGATGAAAATGGCCATCAGCATGATACAGACGGGGGTTACCCATAGCCATGCAGCAACAACCTTTGGCTGCGTGCGCATTACAATTACTGACTGAAGACTCGTTTCTGCCAAACTTGCAGTACCAGGCCCGTTACCTTCGGGTTTTGCAAATCAGGAACATTTTCTTGACGGTGACCAACCAACCTTGATGTCCCGTCAGAAGAAGGAGCGAGATTGAGGCGCATAGTAGTCCTAAGACGCCAACGTCGATGCCATAGTTTGAGATGTGCATGCACTTTACGTCAGTGGCAGAACAGGAACTGGCAAAGACGTCTTTTTTCAGATCTTACTGAACCATTAGAGTGCACCGCCGACGAGGGGAACCGGAGACACGCTGACGTCAAAACACATCTGGTTATTTTTCGATGCCAATCTGACTGCCCAACCCGATGTCGACCAGGTACTTCTTCCCGTTGCCCTGCCTTTTCTGCAGTGAACCCAAAACCCTGTTCCAAAAGAAAACGCCAGACAGCACATGACAAGGGTTACGACCAACTTTCTGCACGCCAAAGACGTCAATGTCTTGCAGTGGCCGCCAAGGTCTCCGATTGTGTCCCCTTACGAGCATCTCTGGATCTCCGTATCAGAGAACGGCTCGTTCCTCCACTCGTAAGACAAAGCTTGTCAGTCACTGGTTGAGGAATAGCGCCTGATTCCAGCAGCCCTCATCAGAGGTCCGACGTTCTGACATCGGGTCGGTCGGGTAGCCTAGTGGTTAAAGCGTTCGCTCGTCACGCCGTATACCCGGGTTCGATTACCGACAATGTTACAATATGTGAAGCCCATTTCTGGTGTCCCCCGCCGTGATATTGCTGGAATATTGCTAAAAGCGGCGTAAAACCATACTCACTCATTCGCTCACTCACTCACTCATTTGTCCATCAGTTTAAATTAATGTGCACATTCAAGGAGAACTTGGAATGTTTAGGTACCGTTTGTAAGGGATGAAAATTCGGTGAGAGATTTCAAGAGTGGCATTACATGATAACGAGATTATGACAAATTATGTATCGCCGAGGCTTTCTACATGCAATGTTTGTTCCTAATCCAGAACATTTACCACACTAATGCTTTCTAAATACGTTTATTCTACAATACAGAGAAAATGTACCGTCCAAAGATAAACTCGCGTGATATACTCGGTTCAACCGCGAGGTTTTATGTGGTGTCAGTGTCGATGTGTCGAAGGATTTTGAATTATGTTCGTCACTGACCACGTAAATCCTCAAAGTATAGTGACATTCTACATGGCCAGGTCCTTTCAAATAACCTAAAGATGCACGACAACGGTCTTCGATCTGCCTGCAACAACTATCGCCCAAGCCTCTGTGTCTGCAGTCTAACTTTGTCTTGTACGAAACATCAATTGTATGAATTCGAATATTGTATACTTGTTTTATTAACATTCTTCTTATTTCATAAATCACACCTGGATATTACAAGCAATAAGTAACATAAACTGGCCGTTACCTTCCTTTTATCGGCAAAACGGTCCTGTATGTTGAACTGTTTGATGGGCATTCTAGTAGTAGGTGAGTAAGTAGTAAAGGTACAACTTTATGGATAGGAACGTCTTGTTTATTGCATATAGCGACGTTTCAGTGTAGATTCTTACACCGTTATCAAGCTTGAGGGACAAAAACCAAACAATGAGAGGTGGATGTGCATGATATATTGTGATAAGCAGCAGATTAACACTGACAACGGGTATTAGATAACAGATAATTGGATAAAGCCAATTGTACAGGGAAGAATAACAAATAGCACACAGGTAATGAAGCACACGGGCAGTGAAGACAGATGTGCAGTAAGGCTAAGGATTAAAAGGATTGGACCCTAATAAAAAAATAGTCTATTGCTTGATTAGATCGTCATAGGCAGACGGAGGCGTAATGACCATGAGCTCTGTTGATCAAAGGTTTGTGACGGCTTTCTATGGCTTCTGTGAGTTTTCCTTTCGTGAAGTCCTGATATTTGGTTGGGTGGATTTGGATTTTGTCAAACTGAACGTGATAGCCAGGGATGTTTAGCTGGAGGTCTGGAAGGGCTGATTTGCTGTCTGCTCTGGCTGTTGAAGTCTTATGTTCTTTGATGCGAAACCTTCTACCCAGTAGAAACCCATATCACAGAACATAAGACTTCAACAGCCAAAGCAGACAGCAAATCGGTCCCCTCAGACGTATGGTATTGTGTATCATCATCAACATCATCATCATCAACGTTGTTATCATTTTTATGTCTGATATTATTTCTTTATTCACAATGTCTATGGCTAGCAGGATAGTGTAGTCGGCAGTCAATGATTTCGCCAACTTACCTATCCTGAAAGTAGTGTTAATAATCACAGCTACCGTTCTAGTCAAAGCAAAACCCCATAAATGTTACGGTCAAAATTAGTTTTGGACAAACTGGAGACAGTATACCGATATTGTGTACGAGCAATAAACACAATTTAGGTTCATTGAAGTTGAGATGTGTTAGATATAAGGTAACAAATGAAACATCGTCTCAAATTGATGCGCTATGGCGATGCTGTAGGTGAAAAATGATTTTATGAAGCAAAATGTCACTGCACACTCGGCTTCTTGGGTATTATATAGTCCATTATGTCGGTTCCCGTGAAACCAATGTATTTGGTATGACCTCACACCGGTGTATAGGTAAACTCGAACCCTGAATCCTGCATCTTCTCGTTCCATATTTGGTCAAATCTTTCGTTTTCTGCAACAGTGAACCAATTCTTCCAGTCCCCGATTTCACCTGAAACAGAGACACAAATGTACCCAAGAGAGCCTACTTTAAACAGGCATACGTTTGTCAACAAGCCATGTAATGGAAATATATCAATGGACTTCAAATACAGACCACACTGGTTACATCTGTAACACAAACATATACTCAACAACAAAAGTTCCTGTGACACCAATATTTTAGTGTATTTTTAAACAAGTAAAGTTTGGTTTTCAATATTGTAGTACATGTATGGAATCAAGTCACAAAAAACGCAACTGCTACAAAAAAGCATGCATTCCATGCAAAAGTTGACTTTTATGCAAGCCCCATGCATTTTACTACCCGAGAATGGGTATAAAAACATGTCACAGGAACTTTTGTTGTTCAGTATATCTTGCAGCAATACCAGTATTCGATGATAACATGAACAATAATACTGAACATCTGATTTATGGGTCTTGGAAATAATAACACAGCTACTAATCTTCCTCCTCCCCTCCGCCTACTACAAGGGAAAATAAGGTCGACAAACTATTATTCCCACAGGACGAATAAGGAACGCATGCACCTTGACCTTATGGTATTATGTATTGGAGAAAACACGCTCACGAGGTTTTGGTAGACAGAGCATGCCCTGGGGAGAGGGAAAAAAAAGGGCATGCTCTATCTACCAAAACCGAGGGAAAGTGTTTTTCCATGCTTATAAACCGAAAAAAGAAACTTAAAACAACATTTATCAACATTTTTATGTTTCGAACATACTTTCCATGAACCTTAGGAAACGCGCGTAAAATATCTGTTGCTGGCGTACGAATCTTGAAAAGGACATTCTAAAAACCAGTGAGGCTTATCAACACCTCTGTAGCCTCGTGGTACACTCACTGGGCTACAGATATGAAGGTTGCGACTTCGATCCTCGGGAATATAAAGAAAACATTTGTCATTTGATTTTACATTTCATTACATGTTACAATCTGAACGGAAGTTGTATTAATAAAATACCCAGGACATTATATAATATCCCAGGGACATTACAACGTCCCTGTTTATGAGATTTAACCCGACTGGAAAGTAAAACCTCACAATAGGTTTTAATGCCTACAGAAAGAAGTCTCTTACTTAATGGCGATCCCAATGAATAGGTTTATAAGCATGAGCCTAAACCGCAGGAATCGTAATACTATTTTCGTGGCTTTTCGTGTTTTGTTTCCTGATTTGACGTGTCGAGATTGTACATCCTGTCGAAATATCGCAATTTGGTACAAAAGAATTCCCATAAAAACTTAAATCAAGAGCATGCGAACGGGAGAAGTTGACAAAATTTGTGTCCTAGCGATTATTATTGTTACAATACGGTTAATTATTGTTACATAAATAAATTGCCAGCGATGATGCGACATTTAATTGCCTAACCAACCAATGTTTTTGCGTTTACGTTTTCATAAACGGACAAAAATTAGGCCACACCCACAAACGGACTTCTGTTTCTTGATTAGTTGATAATAAAAAGGGCTGGGCTTTCCTTGTATCATAGCGCTGAAGGATGTCGATGACGTGAGACACCACGCCTACAATAACCTGTGTTTCGGTGTGGGATAGGAACAAACCCTTGCCAAACGTGGTCATTCATCGATATACTCACCGCAACCAGCATTGCTGAACTTATTTGACACTAGTGCACAAAACACAGTACACCACCTTTGTGTTAAAGGCAGAAAGGTGCACGACTCCATTGCTCTTTGTTATATATTGTCTTGGAGCTTAAAATCTTTATCTCTTACGTACAGGCAAGTGTGGGTTGTATACTTCCCAGGGAACTGAGAATGCACTTTGGAATGCTAATTGATCTGTTGTCCGGGGCTTCCAGAATTAAAATGACACGTGTCATACCTTTCCTGTAGAACGTCCATTCGGTGCCATCTTTCCATATCTTCAAGGGAAGGTCACCTTTCATTTCCTGGTCAACCTTCTTCATCTTCTTAAAGGAACATGCAGCCGCAACCTCTTCACAAAATTGGTCTGTGGGTGTCAGCTTTAGAAATTTGGCGATGTCTTTAACAGCCTTGACAGGGTCCTGGAAGAAGTGTGTTGTTTGATGGTTTTTTACCCAGCCAAATTTGAAAAGATTATAAGTCATGTGTTTTGGACCATGGTATATGTTAATAGAAGCCTGGACCATGAGGCACAAAACCTGAGTGGAGTGAGTGAGTAAATTCTGCTTACCTTACACTCAAACGATTTTCGATTGATTGTTGTTTAATGCCGCAAGCAATATTTCATCTAGATGACGGCGGTCTGTGAATAATCGACACTGGAGTTGGATACGATGATATGTATAAAAAAGTGTGCAATCCTGACAACCCGATCCCCCTCTTACGACAAGAATATGTTGCTAAATGGCCAATTCTAACCCGGATCTAGACGGCTTTTCACTCAAATATATATATTATATTATATTAACGGGACAGGTATATGTACAATATGGTACAACCTTGATTGTATATGCAGATTGATCCTGTTGTTTACGGATAAACCGGCCTCATGTTTGGCCAACAATGCCATTTATGCAGGTTTGTAGCTGATAGAAATACTCACAATTTTCATGTCCTCATAAAAACATATTAAGGACAGGTAATTCTGGTGAAGCTGCCACTTCGGCTTTCCATTCTCGCAGATAGGTGGAATAGGATCCAAACGGCACTGGAAATTAAGGAAGATAAAGTTGAAACAATGTGTCCTCTCTGAGTCCATTCGCATTTATTCTGGAGAAGTGTCGAACTTGGATTCACAAACACGTTAAGTTCGTGTATATAAATGATCACGGTCCAAAAAACGATTGTCATACCTTAACCCTTGACTTGTGACAATCGTAATGCTAACATCGCATTGTATGTCCTCATCCGTATGGACAGGATATCGACGTGTTTGTGAATACAAGTTCGACCCCACGTCAGGACGTGAACCAGGTCTTTGTCTGTCGCCATTGTCGTAGGATCCACTGTCTTCATTTAACATCGCATCGGCAGGTTTTACTCATATCGCGACTCGAAGACGTGGAAGGTCGACAAATACTTATCCATAGTTCGTTGTTATGATGTAATAAAAAACGACAAAAAACCCTTCCAAATTCGTAACAATAAAGCGACCAAACCCTTTCCATATCCAACAGAAATCTCTGAATATAGCAGAGTCGATAGTACGACCCCGACTATACCACGAGCACGTGTGCATGGATCACTATCAAATAGTGATGATACCAGGTGTTCGCGAAAAGGTGAGCGTATCCTGCCCCACCGGTAGTATCTGTTACAAACACATGCAAAGGCATGTCAATTGTTCACCTGAAAAGCACCTGAATTGCATCGGATATCATCTTTGTCACTGATGCATCATATATGGAAATGTCCTCCACTGGTGCTGCCATTAAACCTCGGAATGTTGTAATAACTTCTAAGCAAGAGTCTTTTGACGCTCTTTGTAATCTTGGTAGAAGGAGCATGCTCGATTGTATCCAAACGTTATGAAATGTAATCACCAAAGGCTGGAGTTGCTGATATATATTGCTCGACATGAAAGAAAAGTTGACTGTGGGAAAGTTGAAGTCACCCCGTCTTGTGGAGTGTACTTTATCAATCTGAATCTTTAAACATAGATCTAAATATGAAACAGATGAAGCGAACTTTATTCCCAGTTCAAGGGGGGAATGTGTGGAATGGAACTGGCTTTTTGATTGTTTTTGAACGATATCTGATCATCGATATACCTGGCCTATATGCCTTGGCTAAATTACCGTGTTTTGACTTTGCCAATCCAAGCAGAATTCCGATTCATTTGCACACAAAAAAACAGATCCGCAAGAAGGGGAGCACAGTTGGTGCCCTTGGGGATGCCTACTTCTGACAAAATGCCTTACCCCAAAATTCCACGTAGATGGTATACGTAAGGAAATCAAGCATTGCACATTTGCTTATATTTTTTACAATCTTTTCATTACAGATAAATGACAATGATTTAACAGAAATTGTCAAAGTTTCCGTCCAGCGTGACGTCATGACGGACGCAAAATCACGCACATCTCTCCTGGTTACAATGAAGAACATTAAAACAAATAAAAGTACGCACATTGTCAGAATGTTTCTGATGACTTACAAGACACATGTATGTATATATATATCAATGTTCAATTTCATACGTAGATACAGGCCACAAAATGTATGAACCTTTGATAATCCTCCGTTTGCTTGAACATTGTTTACAGAAGAAACTGACAAGTTTAGTTTCGTATACGACATTTCAGAGAAGTGTCAGAGCATGAAATGTGAAGGTAACTGCAACACGTAGGTATTCCCTTCGAGTGTAATATTCAATACTGTAATTTCATATGAACAGGTTAATGAGTAGCCACTTTATTTCATTTCAAAACTAAAACTGAATATTTTACTTTAACAAAATCTTTATTTGTTTAATATATATATATGCATACAAGTAATTATCTTGGTCTTGGATTTGTGTTTTATGTGGTTTGATTGACAGAACGGTGATGTCTAACGATTCGATAGATGTGCGTTTGTCACTCACGATTTACGAATTGCTCCGCTTGTTTTGTATAATATAATCAATTGTTTCACACTTATTAAGCGGGGTGATCACAGGATATTAACTGTTTACTTTGTTTCTCCTAGAATTGAAAACAAAACATGTATAAACCGTGCGGTGTTGTCCCGTGGGTCGATTATACTGATACTTCCATACAAAGGGAGATTTCTTCGCATCTTTTGTTTCATAATACTGAGACGAGATGAAGAGAAACATCCAGATGATAATTAACAAATACATGTATTGAACCCATATTTGTTTGTTTTGAAATATTCATTTTGGTATTTGATCTACGTAAAATTGATGCCAAACAGGTGGGTGTCTTGTTCAATTAAAGATTCGCGGTATGACTATATAATTACCGACTTTCCGCTCACCTGGCAGACGCTCTATCCATCAGACAACAGAGACAGTCAGACGAGCACAAGGCTATGGCACGTGTTGCAGACGTTGCCAAGCGAGAAACATTACCGTTTGTGCGATTTTATCTGAGATGTCATTGGTCGGAAAACTAGATGACTTCCCTCTCGTTGGAACCAGGCCTTTGCCTGATTCGTTCGTTTAACATAGCGACTACTCCACAAAGTGGCCATATGTATTCAAGGTTGATGGAGGGATGTTGTGTACACAGGACCGTGCAGTATTGACTGTGATCAACCACTCGCTGTACTTACGTTTCCCTGACAAAAACGCTTCTGTAAACTCCGCGAAGTCTCATTCATAGCCATACGGTCCAGCCAGATCTCTGGAGTGGTTGAAAAAGGACACACAGGCATCTTTAGGATTGCGCATGATCTGAATACACTTGACCTTCTTCTCCACGACCTGTGTAGGGAGCATGCGCAGAGGGAGGTTGGTGTTGAAGACCCGTGGAGGCGGCACTGCTTCTATTCCATCTTTGAAGAGGAATTCCATCATCCGGGTCTCTTTCACATCCTTTTGGTACTTGATGGTCCCACTCTTTAGCATCTCGATGACTTCCCACAGCCAATGGGTTCCTAAAACAGGAATGTCTAGTCAATCTTTCACCAAAAATTCGAACCTCAAATTGAGGTGTATCAATATATGGAAGGTTTGCTATATAAATATAACATGCCTAGAAATATTTAGCTTGATTGACGATAGTCCAGTCAATCTTTCACCGAAAAGGCAAACCTTAAATTGAACAGGCTAAACAGATGGTATTCTGAGCGCGGAAGTGTGTGTGTATGTGTGTGTGTGTGTTCGTGCGTGCGCGTATGTGTGTCTGTTTGTGTGAGAGCGAGAGTGTGTGTTTGTGTGTGCGCGTGCGCGTGTCTGTGTGAGAAAAAAAGAGTGTGTGTGTGTTTATGTGTGAGTGTGTGTCTGTGTGTGTGTGTGGCTATGTGTGTGTGTGTGACTGCTTGTGTGTTTGGGTGAGTGTGTATGTGTGTGTGAGTCCTCTATGCACTCCGTATACTGAATGAGAGATAGGGTTAGTCAATAATAGAATCATTCCAGAAGCAACATGCATCCCAGCATACTTAATGTTCTTCCTCTTGTGCTTATCATGAACATAACGGCAATGTTACAGTATTATCATATCAAAACGTAATTCCAGAGTTATCTTGGCGGACGGTCGGGCCTGTGACCTAAGGCGCTGAACTGCGACCAGCAGAGTTGGCTCCCTTTGCCGTGCCAGGTTTCGCTTCTCGGGAATTCTGTCACAGATTCGCCTAGGTTATGATCGCCAAAGTGACTGGCTTATGATTCGCGTTTAATCGGCCATTCCTCCAACTAACACGTTGTGATATAACTGAGACACGTTGTTATGTAACTGAAAAACGCTGTATTATAACAGAGACACGCTGTAATACAACTGAGACACTGTAATATAACTGAGACACGCTGTGATATAATTGAGACTCGCTGTAATATAACTGAGAAACACTGTAATACAACTGAGACACGTTGTAATACAACCGAGACCCGTTGTAATATAACTGAGACACGCTATAATATAACTGAGACACACTGTTATATTACTCGGACACGTTGTTATATAACTCGGAGACGTTGTTATATAACTGAGACAGGCTGTAATATAACTGAGACACGCTGTAATATAACTGAGACACGCTGTAATACAACTGAGACACGTTGTAATACAACCGAGACACGTTGTAATATAACTGAGACACGCTATAATATAACTGAGACACACTGTTATATTACTCGGACACGTTGTTATATAACTCGGAGACGTTGTTATATAACTGAGACAGGCTGTAATATAACTGAGACATGCTGTAATATAACTGAGACACGCTGTAATACAACTGAGACACGTTGTAATACAACCGAGACACGTTGTAATATAACTGAGACACGCTATAATATAACTGAGACACACTGTTATATTACTCGGACACGTTGTTATATAACTCGGAGACGTTGTTATATAAGTGAGACAGGCTGTAATGTAACTGGGACAAGTTGTAATATAACTGAGACACGCTGTTATATAACTCAGACACGCTGTTATATAACTGAGACACGCTGTTTTATAACTGAGACACGCTCTTATATAACTCTGACACGTAATATAACTGAGACACGCTGTTATATCACTGAGACACGTTGTAATATAACTGAGACACGTCGTAATATAACTGAGACACGTAATATAATTGAGACACGCTATGATAGAACTGAGACATGCCGTAAAAGAACTAAGACATGCCTTGAAATAACTGAAACACGCCTTGATATTACATTTTCTCACTCATTTCGTGACCTATCGTGTACCTACCACACTTGGGATACGCCAAGATAATGACGTCATCGTCTTTCAGTTCGGCTTCCTTGATACTTTTGATTCTGTCTGTGTGATGGCCTCCCTTCAACATGGATGGAGGCGGCACAAAAAGGTACACCCCATCATGTTTGAAACAGCGGAATCCGTGTCCTTTCGAATTTCTCAGATCGGGTAGCTCTCCCAGGTCGGGATCTCTGGAAAACACGATTCATGATCGAGATATGTATGTATCCGTAACTAATTATATATCTATTAATCCATGGACGTACCCGAGTAGTTTAAGAATATGCATGTACCGTCAACACACCGTAGTCATAGCAACAATAGTCATAAGAAGAAGTAAGGAGTAGTTTCTTTTGAGCACCTTCAACACACAATAGTATGTACACACAGGAGTGAATGGACCTTGCATTGACGAGATACAGGTCACGCTGACCTAGCGGTCGATTCAGCAAGCAAAGCCCGTCCCTGTACAAGAAGTACCTCAAAACGTGAGATAATTCAAATACCTAGTCAATAAACATGCGGAATAACACTGAGAAATAATCCTGAAAATATGATCTTCAGTAAAGACTTACAACATAGATTTCTTCACTTTGATCTGAGGCCATGGTGAAATTAGTGGTCTTGTTCAGTTCAGCAAATCTCTTTATACCTTATGGGTCATGTGACTGATAAACGAAACTGGGTCATTCTGTCTCCTCCAAATAAAATGTCAGTGGCCGTATCAACCCTGCACATAACAAAAGTAATGTCCTCTATACGTATATATGTAATAGCCTGTTAATTTACCCAAATTAAACAAATAGTTCTACTTCAAAACTACAGAATTAAACTACAGTACACTACGGTTATAACGAACTCAAAGGGACTACTATTTTTAGTTCGTTATAACCGTAGTTCGTTATAAGCATATATACAGTATAACTACAGCAAATAGTCGGGACTAAAAAGTAAGTTCGTTATATCCGTCAGTTCGTTATAAGCGTGTTCGTTATAACCGTAGTTTACTGTATATGGTATTCCCATAACGTCCATTATTACCCTCTGCAGCGTTTTCTGTCACTTGTGGTTTGACTTGAAACATATTAAAACACTTTCGATGCACGACTGTGCCCCCAGTAGACATCATAACACATCCCGTTTACCATGTTTCATATTGACGGCAAACACAACGTGACACGTGAACAACGTTTGGCCCCTGACAACATATTGACACTCGTCCCTGATGAACAGCACATTCAGCCATTACAGTCTGAAACTCATGCCATGACAACTTACCGCATTTAAGATTTGCGCAAACAACCACATCAGCTTCTTTCAGTTGAGCAACTTAAATGCTTTTGTAGTTTTCGAGGAGATTCCTTCCCTTATTTCTTGATGGCGGTGGTATTGGAAGAAACAGACTATCATACACTTAAAGCCGCGACCCTTCGAGTTTGTCAAGTCGTGAAGGTCACCAAAATCTGGAGGAATACTGAAAAATACCACCGCATGTATTTATTTTTTAATTTATTTTAGCATTAGTATGTACAGATTGAAATAAGAAATGCAGCAAAGAGGGTTTGGTTAGGCTCATCATCAGCTCAGGACCCTTGTCCACTCTACACGCGGCCCAGACAGCGAATGGGACTTCTCCCAGGAAGCGCTGCCTAATCAAACCCACCGAGAACCTTTCGGAGAATGTGAAGACTCCCCAGCACTGCAGTCTCCTGCATTACCCAGATTGTCAGAAGGGCTGTATTCCTGGTAGCAAAACCGGGTACTCTCCCAATGTCAGTCAACAGTCAGACAACCTGGTACTTGGGATGCGAGCGTGACATTTCGAAAGGGAGGTCCGCATATTTGCCATGTTTTTCCTCAATCTTGTTAATCACATTAGTGTCAAAAGGGACAGAAAATTCAATGACATAAATGATTTCACTGGATTTATCAAAAAGGACAAGATCAGGTGTGTTGGCCTGGATACGTCTGAGGCTGTATACGGGGCTATTCCAAAGAGTTTTGTATTTATCATTTTCCATGACGCCCTCCACATATTCGGGGTCGTACCATGGATAGACCTCTGTGTCAAAACCACAAGCATAGCGAAGACGGTAATAAAATGATCGAGCCACTCCATCATGTCGCTTAAGATATTGTGTTTGAGCCAAAGCTGGGCATCCACTGACAATGTGTTGGACATGTCATTAAAATCATTTCATATTTTCATTTTGATGCAAAATCACATATTGACGGTTTCGAGTGGGAAGTGACTGGCCCTGAGCAGCAAACAGAAACTTCATCCAACTTCATCCCAGCGATGGACTCCGCAGGGTTGCTGATGTTCTCAACACACTGCACATAAACTGGATGCAGTGGTCATTCAGATAGCTTTAGATAGTTCGGGCCCATTTGATATGGTACTTCATTCAGTAGTAGTAGTAGTAGAATATATTTGATATGTACTGAACCGCAAAAGAAACGTCACCATGGATAGATATATGAGAAACCTTATATGTCCAAACACTGTAAACATACTTTGGGGCATAGAAAAAGAGAAATAGATTAAACCTGGCAAAACTGATCATCAAGGTTGAAATTAAAGTGTCAAATGTTCTTAAAGTGAAACACAACACTAGTCTCTGAGAAAATGGCACCACAAGTCAGTTTCTCGTGTGTCCACCATGTGCATTGATGACTCTCGTGCAATGTCGATACATGGAATGGATGAAGCAGTTGATGAAGGCCATAGGCACTTTAGCCAACAGAGGAACGCCTGATGCAGTCCAGCTGCAGTTGTCGGCATTGGTCGGACGTCATTCAGCCGTCTTTGAATCTCGTCCCATAGGTGCTCAATGGGATTTAAATCGGGACTGAGGACAGGCCACTGCCTGGTTCTGATGCCATTCTGCTGGAGGAAGTCTCTTGTTGCTCTCGCGGTGTGGGCACGGGCGTTATCATACTGAAACTCGTGGTTGCAGCGACGTGCCAAATGAGGTATGGCGTGTAGTCTCAAGACGTGATCAATGTGCCGAGTTGCTGTGACACCATTGCCTCTCCCTACACCGATGTTCTGCAAGATCAATTCCACCCCACACCATGATGCTCAGATCACCCAATGAGTCTCTCTCAATAACACAAGCATCCGAATAACGTTCCGCACGGCGTCGCCAGACACTCTCTATGCCATCTGCTGTTGAGATACAGTAACGGCTCTCGTCTGAGAAGAGGACTCTTCGCCACTGCTGGTGGCGCCAATGCCGGTGCTGTGTTGCCCACTGAAGACGGTCTCGGTGGTGTAAGCGTTCGCTCGTCACGCCGAAGACCCTGGTTCGATTCCCGACATGGGTACAGTGTTTGAAGCCCTTTTCTGGTGTCCCCCACCGTGATATTGCTGGAATATTTGAGAGATGTGTGACAGTATGCACACAGAGAGATGTGGGTCAGTATGCACAGAGAGAGATGTGGGTCAATATGCACAGAGAGATGTGTGACAGTCTGCACAGAGAGATGTGTGTCAGTATGCACAGAGAGATGTGTGTCAGTATGCACAGAGAGATGTGTGTCAGTATGCACAGAGAGATGTGTGTCAGTATGCACACAGAGAGATGTGTGACAGTATCCACAGAGAGATGTGTGACCGTATGCACAATGAGAGATGTGGGTCAGTATGCACAGAGTGATGTGTGTCAGTATGCACAGAGAGATGTGTGACAGTATGCACAGAGAGATGTGTGACAGTATGCACACACAGAGATGCGTGTCAGTTTGCACAGAGAGATGTGTGACAGTATGCACACACAGAGATGTGGGTCAGTATGCACAGAGTGATGTGTGACAGTATGCACAGAGAGATGTGTGTCAGTATGCACAGAGAGATGTGTGTCAGTATGCACAGAGAGATGTGTGTCAGTATGCACAGAGAGATGTGTGTCAGTATGCACAGAGAGATGTGTGTCAGTATGCACACAGAGAGATGTGTGACAGTATCCACAGAGAGATGTGTGACAGTATGCACAATGAGAGATGTGGGTCAGTATGCACAGAGAGATGTGTGTCAGTATGCACAGAGAGATGTGTGACAGTATGCACACACAGAGATGTGTGTCAGTTTGCACAGAGAGATGTGTGACAGTATGCACACACAGAGATGTGGGTCAGTATGCACAGAGTGATGTGTGACAGTATGCACAGAGAGATGTGTGAAAGTATGCACACAGAGAGATGTGGGTCAGTATGCACAGAGAGATGTGTGAAAGTATGCACACAGAGAGATGTGGGTCATTTTGCACAGAGAGATGTGTGACAGTATGCACAGAGAGATGTGTGTCAGTATGCAAAGTAAGATGTGTGTCAGTATGCACAGAGGGATCTATGTCAGTATGCACAGAGAGATGTGTGTCAGTATGCACAGAGAGATGTGTGACAGTATGCAAACACAGAGATGCGTGTCAGTGTGCACAGAGAGATGTGTGACAGTATTGACAGAGAGATCTGGGTCAGTATGCACAGAGAGATGTGTGAAAGTATGCACACAGAGAGATGTGGGTCAGTATGCACAGAGAGATGTGTGACAGTATGCACAGAGAGATGTGTGTCAGTATGCAAAGTAAGATGTGTGTCACTATGCACAGAGAGATTTATGACAGTATGCACAGAGAGATGTGTGTCAGTGTGCTCAGAGAGATATGTGTCAGTATGCTCAGAGAGATGTGTGACAGTATGCACACAGAGAGATATGTGTCAGTATGCACAGAGAGATGTGTGTCAGTATACTCAGAGAGATGTATGTCAGTATGCACAGAGAGATGTGTGTCAGTATGCACACAGAGAGATGTATGTCAGGATGCTCAGAGAGATGTGTGTCAGTGTGCCCAGAGAGATGTGTGTCAGTATGCACACAGAGTGATGTGTGTCAGTATGCACACAGAGTGATGTGTGTCAGTATGCACAGAGAGATCTATGTCAGTATGCACAGAGAGATGTGTGACAGTATGCACTCAGAGAGATTTGTGACAGTATCCACAGAGAGATGTGTGACAGTATGCAAACACAGAGATGCGTGTCAGTTTGCACAGAGAGATGTGTGACAGTATGGACAGAGAGATGTGGGTCAGTTTGCACAGAGAGATGTGTGACAGTATGCACAGAGAGATGTGTGAAAGTATGCACACAGAGAGATGTATGTCAGTATGCACAGAGAGATGTGTGACAGTATGCACAGAGAGATGTGTGAAAGTATGCACACAGAGAGATGTGGGTCAGAATGCACAGAGAGATGTGTGACAGTATGCACAGAGAGATGTGTGTCAGTATGCAAAGTAAGATGTGTGTCACTATGCACAGAGAGATTTATGACAGTATGCACAGAGAGATGTGTGTCAGTGTGCTCAGAGAGATATGTGTCAGTATGTTCAGAGAGATGTGTGACAGTATGCACACAGAGAGATGTGTGTCAGTATGCACAAAGAGAGATGTGTGTCAGTATGCACAGAGAGATGTGTGTCAGTATGCTCAGAGAGATGTATGTCAGTATGCACAGAAAGATGTGTGTCAATATGCACACAGAGAGATGTATGTCAGGATGCTCAGAGAGATGTGTGTCAGTGTGCCCAGAGAGATGTGTGTCAGTATGCACACAGAGTGATGTGTGTCAGTATGCACAGAGAGATGTGTGTCAGTGTGCACAGAGAGATGTGTGACAGTATGCACACAGAGAGATGTGTGACAGTATGCACACACAG